CTCGGGTGGGTCGCGGGGATGGCAGGACGGGGGCAAGGGGGGGAGCGGGAGAGGCGGGAAGGGGGTTAACGGAGAATGAGAACCAGGGAACGGACGGGTGGGAGAATGGATGGGGGGATGGGGGGGCGGGTGGGGGAATGGGGGGAACGGGGATGGAGAACGCGAGCGATTTCTGCGAGCTGGAACGGAAGGATGGTGTGCTACATTAGAGTGAGGGCCGGAGGGCGAATGGGGGATGTATGGACGGGAGAGAGGCTTCAGCTGCTGGCGGACACTATGCTGCCGGCCCCTGGCTCTTCCCGCCCTTCCCCCCCCCCCCCGCCCCCTTGATACGTGTGTGCGTGTGTTTACCGGGTTTACGTATATACTTAACTGGTGTTCTGCTTCTCGTGTGACTGCTATCACCTCGTACTGTCAGGGTCACTGCGTTCTGTGACCCTCTCCTCTCCTCTCCTCCCGCCTTCGCTATCCCCGTCCGTTCTTTCTCTCTTTCTCTCGATGCAGCAGGTGTTAAGCGGGCCGTACTGACCTTGGCATCCCTGTACGCCAACGATCGATGATGCCGGAAGCACAGTCCCGAGGCTCGGTTCAAGCGAAGGGTGTTCGTGTGAGTGCGTATGTAGTCGGACCTGTAGACGAGATGACTGTTTCAGGTGCCCTGCACATAGGTTCGGGCTAGTACGACCAGAGAATGAGTGTGCGGAGCCCCCCACGCCAGCAGCTGTCAGCTGTCGTGCGCGTGGCACTCCCTGCTCTTTCCCCCCAACCGGGTGTGAGAGATAACAAGCATCTAAACATCAAGCACTACAGTCTCTACAAAGACAACAAGGGCATACCACTTAGGGTTGACGAATACTCTAGAGTTTCCTTCGAAGGAGCCCCTTTGCGGAGATTATGCCTGACGACACCCCAGAGAGCGACAGCGGCGGAACCACGATCGACACGCGCGTGGCGGAGCTGTCCACGAGGCTCGAGGAGCAAAGCAAGGTGCTGTCGGCTGTCATGGAGAAGCTAGGGCAACTTCATCAGATGCCGCCTGCCAAGGCGGCGGGGGCAGAAGAGGGGGAGTAAAGCGGCGCTGCCATCGCCGCAGGGCGCGGAGGAGCCGCGCCGGGCACACGGTTTGGGGTGCCACCCGGTGGAGTCGGGGGAGTAGGTCCCCCGGGCCACCCATCCGCTGGCCACCCGCTGGGAAGCAATGCGCCGGGATTTTGGATGCAGGGGGTGATGGACAAGATGTCATCGCTGCTGCAGGCAATAACAGATTGCGGAAGCCGAGGGGGGCCAGGCGGTGCTGGAAGACGCGCGCCGCATCCTGCGGTGGGATTGTTGGAATCTCACCGCCAGGCAGCTGCCTATCAGAGCTGCACGCTGCGGCTGGCGTTAGAACAGATGACGCCGCTGGAAGAGAGAGCAGCAGTAGATCGGGCACGGAAGGTGTACCGGTGCGGGCGTTTGACGTCCCTGAAAATGGTGGTTTTGGTGGGTTCCAGACCATCGACTTTCTCTGTACGGTTGGCAGCTCTAGCAGAGGCACTGCTGGGGGTAGTTTGACTGCCCCGGGCACACGGGACGAGTTGTCAGGAGGTGGAGCCTGGAGGGTAATCCTTCGGGGCCACAAACATGAGCGACCTGTTGGGAACGGCCTAGTTACAAGGCAGCAAAGGGGCGGCGGCGTCGGCGGTGGAGTAGCGGGCGGCACAACACACGAGCCTGTTGATCGCGGGAAAAGTACTCGCTCCGGGAGAACTGGAGGATTGCGGTCATGGCGATTCTGGTGAACGTGGAATTGCCGCAGAGGAGCAAGGGCGACACCGCGAAATCTGCTGTGCTTTTGAACGAGGGCCAACAACAGCACGGCGTTACCGCGGGGCGCTTCTTTCTGGTTGAGTTCGTGAGTGATATTGAATGATTTTGCTTGCGACGAATGATACCGAAAGTTTCTACAGGGGATTCGCGGTTCAGGCGTTTCCATTCTTGAGTGTGGGTGTTTTTTTGAGCAATTGTTGTTCGTCTTTCTCGATGGTAAATCCAGGCGTGTTATCGCGGGTGTTTCATACGACGATGGTAATTCGGCTCCAAAAACCAGCCACTCTATGATGGGGATTCGCGGTACAGGTGCTTCCATTTCATGATGTCCGCGGGCGATGAAAACTTTGTCTGGGGCAGAATAAAAGGGGTACGCGGGACCAGGCGTATCAAAGGAGGGGATGCAGCATCGGCGCTCCCTACAACCGATGAAAATTCACGCACAGAGGTAAACCAGTATCTAGCGTGGAGGTTGAACAGAAGGGGTGCACAGGTCCATGCAGCAAAGGCGCTCCCGACAGCCGATGAAAACTTACGCACGAGGTAAACAGTATCTAGCGTGTCGGCTGAAGAGAAGGGGTACACAGGACCCGGTGTATCAAAGGAAGGGATGCAGCACAGGCGCTCCCCGCGGCCGATGAAAACTGACGCACAGGGGTCAAACAGTATCCAGCGTGTCGGCTGAAAAAAAGGGGGTACACAGAAACCGGTGTATCAAAAGTTGCAGACACCGGCGCAGGTGAAATTGTGCTGGCGTCAACATGAGGTGGAAATGGGGAGGGGAGGACACTGTTATACTGCTGTAGGTGACATTTCCGTTGTTGCTGCAGGTAGGTGTGGACCCATGTATCAGACGTATCCACCTTATTGAGGGATTCGCAGTAGCAAGGCGTCCCCACAATCTATATCAGTGTTTGTCTTGTAGAAGGGGAGAAGCCCCATGATGAGAATCACTGTGTTTGTCTTGTAGGAGGAAAATAAGCCTCAGCAATGATAAGTTCTCGATGCAGTATATCGTCAGGCGTGTTTTCCGCGAGGGTTGAATGAAGGAGGTATTGTGTGTGGCTCGCAGCAAAGAGCGAGGGAGGTTATCGCACGACATGATGGACCGCAGTTTTCTTCGAGTGAGGGAGAGCAGCCATATCGACGCGTGCTGTATGGCGGTTGAGAATCGGAACTTTGTTTTTTTTTAGAGTCGAAGAGTTGTGTGTAAGCAGGCTGAAGTTTGAATTTCTGAGAGTCGGAGTGTGAGTTGTGTGCAAGGAGGCTTATCATGCTTGATGTGTTTGGCAAAACAGCTGTCCCAGGATGATAGCATTTATCACCGACCCCGGGGGCGACGCGATGCGCCGGAATCAAGGGGGAGGGAGGAAGTTAGGTGCTCAGATCATCGATAGTTGTTCGTCGAGCGGGGAGGGCAGGGCAACAGCTGGCTTGAAGGTAGAGCGTCATAATGTACATGTGTGCTCACCCGCCCTCTTGTCTTTTGTGTTGACCCCGGAAAAAGAGTTCACTTTTTATAATAGTTGGTTCACTTTTATAACAGTTAGTTCACTTTTTTGTAACAAGTGATTCTCACTTTCATAACAGAGACTTGGCGTTTCCCTGGCGACGGCACAACGGGGTGTTTTCATTAATGCGAGACAGCACACACGAAACGTCCAGGGTATACATGTTCTTGTGCGACCTGGTCTGTCTCTTGTCTTCCGACTGTCTTGCCAACATGCACGCCCACACCATCAAAAGACCGATTTTTGCGCCCACGTCGTGTTATTGTTTTTTTATGCTGCCATGCTGCTCCCCTGCTTTTCTAGGCTTTGGGGTCGTCGTCAAACAGATGCCTAAAGTGCTGAGGGACTTCTTCCTCAACCACGCCATCCTTGTTCGGAATGAGACCCTTCTCAGGTCCAAACTGATGAGCCAGCACCCTACCTTCGATGGTTGACATCGGTGGTGGAGAGATGCATGTTCTGGTTGTGGTGTAACCTTGCGTTTGGTCAGCAATTCACCGCTGTTTTGGCGGGTCTAGATTGGCATTCACCGATCGTCGGATAGGACCCCCGACAGAGACCTACTGTTACGGGTTGAGTGGTTACTGTCACCGGTTGAGTGGTTCACTCAACGACCTTCGTTGAGGTTGTTCATCTGCCGTGGGGTTCATTTGCGTCGTCGGAGGAAGGCCCGCGGTGGTATCAAAGGTGTTGTCGGCGGGTGTAGTATGCCTTTATCCTTTTAGGTCTTGCTGGCGGTATGTGCGAACCTAGGTGAACCAGCCGTACACACACGTGAGAATCGTTCTGGCTGCACAGGGGGTTCGTCTTATGTATGCGGTGCACTACACGTACGGGCTTTCCTGCCCGAGGATCGCCATATCGCAATTACCTTCGTCACGTCATGCGACTGGAACCTGTAACTGAAGTTGCATATTTCTATGATGCAATGATGCGCTTGGGCAAGTATGTGCTCGTCCCATCGTTCCGTTTCTTGATGAGAGCTACAGAACTGCTCCAAAATCAAAGTCATTTTTACCGCCTGGCTGTTAAAGGTGGCTTTTGCACGACAGTCGTCTCACTTTTATAAAAGTCCCCAAACTGACTGTTGGTAATGGGCACCCACCTCACTTTCATAAGAGTCAGCTGACTGTTATAACAGTGTGTGAACTGACACCTCACTTTCACAAGGGTCAGCTGACAGTCGTTTCACTTATATAAAAGTCCCCAAACTGACTGTTAGTAATGTGCACCCACCTCACTTTCATAAGAGTCAGCTGACTGTTATAACAGTGTGTGAACTGACACCTCACTTTTACAAGAGTCAGCTGACTCTTATGAAAGTGAGTAAATTGACTGTCATAACAGTGAAATAACGATGACTGTTATGGGAGTGAGCCGACTGTTATAACAGTCAATCCACTGTTATAACAGTCAAATATTCACTTTTATAACAGTGAATCCATTTATAAGATTGTGTGGGAGCCCGGGAGGGCAGTAGGAGTAAATTGCGACAGACCTTTGTTTGGGCTTCGTGGGAGTAAAATCGTGGCATTGGCTGCATACGTTTTGGACTTTGTTGGGTACTAGGGAAGAAGGTGATATTGAAACGTGGCGGGAAGGTTACCCGGATCGATGACGTTGTCGGAGTTATCCTGTTTGCTTCTCTATCTTGCTTTTTAGTAGTACCATCCTTGGGAGGGAGGGGTTTTGACCCGGTGGCCGGGTTTCCCATTAGGTTTTTATTGATTTGTCGTTTTTGCGGAAAAAACCTGACTTGAGGTGGCGGAAGCACGCATCCCACAGAAGAAGTGGTTAGTTACTTTTGTGTAAAGAACCAGGGAGGGTGTTCGTGTGAGTGCGTATGTAGTCGGATCTGTAGACGAGATGACTGTTTCAGGTGCCCTGCACATAGGTATGATGGGGTAGTACGACCAGAGAATGAGTGTGCGGAGCCCCCACGCCAGCAGCTGTCAGCTGTCGTGCACGTGGCACTCCCTGCTCTTTCCCCCCAACCGGGTGTGAGAGATAACAAGCATCTAAACATCAAGCACTACAGTCTCTACAAAGACAACAAGGGCATACCACCTAGGGATTTTTTATTTTGAAAAAAACAATAATTGTTTTTTTTTTATCTCGATAAAATACCACAAGAGATGCAGTCAGTTGGATTGGGCCAGCAAACGGAAGCCAAGAAGAGGCGGGATATCCCCTACACGTACAACATCCCTGAACCCGGCGATCGGATACACAATCACTATCGAGCCTAATCGTGAGGTTCCTTTGAGTCCATGCCCTCCAATACGGCATCGAAAGTGGTCCGTGCGCGGGGCTCCCCAACCCAGCAAGCCTTGGCGATTTCCACGATGTCCGCAGGAGCATCGTGACGGAACGAAGGCCGCGCTCCCATCAACACCGCGGACAGTATCTCCCTAGGGCGAGTTTTGTTCGCCCAAGGAAGTTCGCCTGACACCACTTCCCACACAACGATGCCGAAGCTGTAGACATCGCTGGCGTAGGTGCTACCACCAGATTCGAGCACCTGAAATTACCGACGAGAGACGCAGAAGCCACACTTCAGTTGGATTCTTACCCTGCTTCGTCAGAGAGAACCGGCGTGTGAAAAACGCGACGAGCAACAGCTGAGCATCTTCTTTACGGCAAGGACCCCAGCTCTATTGATGACCCCGGCGAGAGGATGAGTCTGGCTTTGACCCCAACCACTTGTAACTCGGAAGGCCGGGGTTGTCTAGGCCGGGAGCTGTTTGGGGGGTGGCAATCTCGATACTAGCAACAACAGGTGCGAAACAATACAATCCTGGACAGCGTGCAGGCACGCTCTCATTCCAAGGGGCGACATGCACAACAACAGTGACAACCGTCAATGTTCAGGCATAACACCAATGCAAAGTCTCGAAAGACGCGTGCCGTAAGCTGGTCAGCAAGCACGAATTATCCCCCCAAGGCAGAGATAGATATAACAGCGTATCCAGGATTGAAAGGAAGAACGCACCTCCGGGGCGCTCCAGGCGAGGCTCATCTGAGTGCTGGGTTTGGTGGTGGTATACGTAGCCAAACCAGTTGAGTGTGTATGCTGCGACCATCTGGAGGTACCGAAATCTCCAATCTGGACAATTGGAAAAATTATGACGTCGGGGTGGGGCGGGTCAAGATGAACAACTGTCACAACCCTAACCCTAAGACACACCCCGAACTATGCCCGACTGCAGCGTAGCTCCTCTCTGCTCCCCACAAAGTCCGCGAATACGAGAACAGTCCGTCTTAACCTAAAACGTCATCAATACGAGAATATGTACTGTATGCTGTTCATGCTGATTCTGCATAGCGCTGCAACCCTACCTTTGCTCGTCCAGACCCGTCGAGAAGCACGTTGGCTGACTTGAGATCGCCGTGAACTGTGTCCTTCTCATGAAGGAAGGCCATGCCCGCGCAGATGTCTCCGATGATGCGCCTGGATTGCTCCTGGGGAAGGGGCTGTTCAGAGGTCCTCAAAAGCGTTCGGAGGTCACCACCAGAGAGCAGCTCCATGACGAGAACCATATGGTCTGGCTGAGACGTGACCGCTCCGTAGACGTTGACCGTGTGAGGGCTCCTCAGACGGATCATGGCATCGAGCTCTCGCAGGAAGGCTCTTCGCTGACTGTCGTTTTGGTGGTGCTTGACCGGCCCGGGGGGGGGGAGTCAGGAGCATCCTCCTCAATGAGTTCCCCTAGATGGTGGGCGATACGTAGTACCTTTGTTGCAAACGTAGTGGTAGCACCAAATCGGTACAGCAAGCGATCGAAACGCGTACTATTCTTGAGAAACAACAACAGCAACCAACAGCAGGGCTGAAAGTACAGGATGGTTCCAGAGCACCACCCATGTGTAGGAGAGGGCACATGCCACCCCGGATAATGCATGCTAGATATGACGTGGTGTTTTGCGATTACGCAATATTCATGCTCTCATGTATGCCACGGCAGATACGTAGAACCCCCGTGGAACGGGAGAAAGCTCAACTTGCCGCCAAAACAACATGAAATCGTGCACTGGTTTTCCGGGTTTTTCGGTCCGTTGTCTTCCCCCAAAACACCGCCGGTTGTTGGATGTGGCCCCGATGTATCACTACGTTGGAAAGACGAACTATGAATACCTTGGCGGCGGCGTTACGACCGTTATAGTCGGCGAGGTACACCTCGCCGAAGCCGCCCTTTCCGAGAACTTCGTTCGTGATGGTCAGGTGTCCCTCGGGGATCTCGACTTGATCTAGCTTGCGCTGACGCCTTGTTCTACGAGCGTCCGCCAGAGACTCCGATTGGGCCTCCGCAATGGAACCCTGGCAAGAACAAAATAAAGCTTTCCACGTCATGACTGTGCGAGCGCCACCGGAAATTCACCGTCATGCCTAGAGGACCTGCGTTGTATCGCCCACAGCCGAAGCGTGTCGGTTCCAGCCAAGGTATAAGATTTGCTCTTTATAACTGCAGGACAAACATTCGGCGACATCGGAAAAGCGGAATGTATGCCTCACCTTGTATTGGTCCATTCCTGTCTTGATCGCACTTACGTCTTGTCCGACTTGCATGTGGAGACCCAACTGGACAGGCCGAGAAACAATAACGACCGCAAGTTCAAAATATCGAAGCGAGTCCGCGAAAATGAAGGCATCAGGGTAGTAAAGCACGCACGCGTTTACGACACGCATACTGCTACGCGCACACTATCGATCGCTCTTCACGACGAGCTTCCCAATCTAATACCCGGCTCTCTCAAAAAGTGCCGACTCTTTCTGAAATGAGAATGTACTCAAGTCACCACACACCTGAAGGCGCACCATGGCCCTGTCTACGACCGCATCAAGCTCGTCCTGTCGCCGCTTGAAGAGGGTCGACATCAGCACCTTCGAAAGCTTGTTTTTACTTTGGTACGTTTTGATGAGCTCGACGAGGTCGAAGATTGCCTCATGCACGTCTTCGATCAACATACGGGTCACCTCCCCGGTCGTATTTTCACCCTGAAATTGATACGCGACGACATGCCGGGGCGACAATTTCTAACAATGGGTTGCCAGAGACACCCTCTCTCGCCTAAACGGTAATCATTACCGCAACGCCTGGAATATAAGCAAGATGGTACTGCTCCCAAGGTATCAACCCAAATCCTCGCGAGACTCCACCACTATCATAAATGAAGGACGTCGACCATTGAGAGCGTGTCTAGCATTTCACAACCGCGAACATCAAATACGAAGACATGCAAGGGCCCCGCGTCAACTCACGTTACCAGCCACCTTGTCGGCCCGGTTGAGCAGAATGATGATCGAGCGGCATTGCCTGAGTCTCCCGTCACTCCCGCCGTTGTTGTCGCAGCTATCCGTCACCAGATTCACCAGAAGGGAAACCAGTGTTGCTACCTCGCTGACACCAGGAACCTGGCAATGGTGCGCCAGCTCCTGGGCTAATAGCAAAACAGCCTGGCCACCCCCCACACTAGTAACGACCGATGCTCGGTGGCTATCGGTTTGGGAGGTCTCTCCCTTGCCTGAGACTAGTATATGGTCGTCGGCAAAATGGGGTGTGCCTTTACGGCTGACGGCGGTAGTATCGGCCCGCTCACCCGGCAAGGTTGTGGTGGAGCTCGTTGTTGTCAAGGACTGGTCCGCTGAAATAGCTTCTTCAACCACGCATGGAAACGCAACTCCTCGTGTATTCATCCGGGTTTGTGCGGCCTGTTCGGTGCTGCGTGATGCAGACCCTCCGGGTGCAGCTTCCGATGCCACGGCCATGCCTTCGACACCCGCCACAACCTCTATTGGCTTGCGCATGTGCGGAGGCTGGTTATTGCCTCCATGAACAACGGTTGGCGCATGCTGCTTAGCGCCTTGCTGATTGTCACCCTCACGGCCATGCTCGAAGTTATCATCGTTGCTGATAGGAGGGACCACCGAACCAGTCTTCATGCCCTTCGCTCTTTGCCACCTCTTGTACCAGATAGCAAGGGCGATGAAGATAGCAGCGGCAACCGCGGAAACCGCCCCGGCTACGATTGGCGTAGGGCTCGGGGCTGACTCATCCCCCGAAAGAACGTCCAATGAGTCGACTGTCGAGGAAATCCCACCTGAAGGTGCCAACGTCGAGGAACTGCGGACTGACGGTGCCAGTGTAGGAGCAGGTAGTTCGACAGGTGTATCAGAAGGTGGAAATGCATGTGCCGGAGTGGCTGGCGCGGGACTCAGTGCGACGGTTGGTGACGTCGTTGGGGGTGTTGAGGTGTCGAGAGTGGAGGTGTTGAGCAGGACGACCAAGAAATCTTCAGAGCCAAGATTGGGTTCTCCTCCCCAAGACCCATTGATACTCCCGACCATTACCATCCTCCCGTCTGAGCCTGCCGCCATCCCCCGGAGCATGAAGTCATCTGAAGAACTTCCCTGCCGGTTACACAGCCGGCACACACGAAACAATGGGCGCATGGCGTCCGTCGGTATAATGATCGCCGTGGTGCAGCGAACGAAGTTCTCTTCCTGCGGTAGTTCCTAAATATGCGTACAAAGTTGGAGAGACAAGTGCGTGCCTCTTGATTTGAGCGTACAAGGAGCACACCCATTTTAGGAGTTCGTCAAGAGCAGTTACCTGCTTCCAGCGCCAGATCTCTTGTCCGTCAGCCCCTAGCATCACTGTCGCAATATCGGAAGATCCCACACGTTTGTCGGACATAACCTGAGATCCCCCCGTTCTTCCGGCGAGAAGAACAGTACCGTCTTCTTGCACCGAAACTGCGTAAATTACGTTGTACTCGACCTCATAGCCGCCCTGTCCAACCAACACGTTGTGAAACGAAACGGTGAGGGATCATGACGGCACTTAGTGCCCGAATCTACTTACTTTTACGGTATACAACACGGTACCAACAAAAGAACCGTTACGGGCAGACCCAAAAAAGTCGAACTGTGTCTCTTGTGCCTGTAGTAAACGTCTAACGGGATCTATCGACGAGCGAAGTCATGACATCTTCGCCAACAATGCCTGAGATAATATAAAGAAGGAATACCATACAGCGCTCACGAACCTACGCCGACGGTACCGGAGGCTGACATGCACCTTGGTGCGCTGGTCCACAAAAATGTTTTTCCTGCGACACCTTCGGGCTAGCCACCAAGTTGTTCTGTACGTGTCGAAGTGTACTTTTGGTGTTTGAACAGCGTTGTCTACAGGCCATGGAAGATGTCACTTTGCCTGGCGTTGCCGAATGCATGTCTTGTGATGTGACCACTCCGTGGTCAAACAAAGCCTGTACCGCGCCTAGCGTTCTGAATCAGAACACGTAATCGGGTTTGTTGCCACTAAAGTTTATCCCGTTACCGGCTGGAACAGTTACAGAATGCATGCGGACAAGTTCCTCAATGTTACGACAGCAACAGTAGCAGCAAACTACAATCACCTGCCACCTCCAAACCTCCGTTCCGTTCGCATCGAGCTTCACCGCGGCGAAATCACATTCCTCGCCCGTCAAGCCCCCGCTCCACTCGCCAAACGTATACCCAGCCAACACGACGAACCCGTCCCCCGTGGCCGCAGCAGCTTGAATTTCGTCGCTTGAGCTGGTACCATCCTGTGTATCGATGGAATCAACGTCGATGGACAACAAAACGCTGGGTAAACCATGAACATACAATACCATGCTGTTGAACCGGCCAACCGCGATCGGAAACCGCACGGTATTTCGCCGGAACGTATCTCCTTTAATATCGCGTATGTGATGGTACGTACCTGCGGCCACTATCTCTCATGATCTCAACGCGGTCTGCGTTGTTTTGTTGCGCTCTTGTTGACCGACATGGATTCCCACAACTCTTTTCAAGGACTACCTTATGTCGTCGTGTTGGTTCCTGGTGCCAATCCTGTTCGCGCGGTTTGCTCTGTGATTCGGGAGCTTAAGGCTGGATGCTTGCGAGCACCACCAACAGCTGGCCATGTGCAGACCTTTCAAAGGAGCCCCAAGCGCGTGTAGTGGACCGGACTCGAGCTTGTACAGGCATATGTATTTACTGAAGGATAAAAACATTGGAGAACATCCGCCATTCACGCAGAGTTTTGGCTTCAGTTCCGTCGGTAGTTCGCCCTTGTAAGATCTCGGGCATCGAAAAGTACCACTCATCGCCCATTCTGTGGAAGTTGCAGTGACTCTGGTTGAATCCCGTCATAACCCCGTTGTGCGTTGCGATAGCCTTCCCAGTTGTGGAACAACCAAACCAAACGCTCAGGTGATATTTATGATTTGTCCAAAGCCATGTGTATGACTCACCAACGCCGACAGAGTTCACCCTTTCACTTCGCAGACATACTGAACAGCAAAATCGAACAACCTGCCACGTCCACAGTGTCGTCCCTCCTGAGTCAAGCTTGATGGCGACGAAGTCTAAGCTTCCAACAGATGGCCCCGAGAAATCCAGCGATGTCATCCCTGCCATGATGACTGACCCTTCCTCATCCGCCGACACCACAGCCCACAAGATGTCGAAGCCGATAGTCCCATCCTGCGGGACAAAAATATAGCGCAAATATGTTCCAAGGGAAACGAATCTAATCCATCGCCAGCGGGTTTCACACTCCCCTCGCTGTCTCTGTAGCTGGTTGCATATTGCCGGAATAACGGCTAGTGACCATCAAGTGCTTCGGAGCTGATCAGGTTCTTGTGTGTGGTATACCCCGCTTGCAAAATGTTGGGCGTTGCGAATGTTGAAGTGAAAACAATATCTTCAACAGTGTAGTACAGTCAATTTCGAGCTCTGAGTGAATACGCACCTGAGCCAAACGAACGGACCCAGGAAAGAGGATTTGAAGCCGCTGTATACGACTGGCAACGGATGAGCACCCGCATGCGATATCCACAGTACGGCCAACAATCAGCCCGCATCAACCCCAAAGTTACTGATGTCAGTCTCTTCGCAACCTGATCCTTTCCCACAACACAAAGGGTGCACGACGGTACTCGAACAAGACACTCAAAGAGCCAGAATTGGCGGAAATTGCCCAGATCGCCGGATACCTCACCAACGGTCGGGCAGATGGTCACACAAGCCCAGGAAATATGCCCATGTGTTTCGGAGACACCACTCTACATGGCAAACGACAACATTCCTGGAGACAACAACCACGCATTCCAAGGTATGTAAACTGTCCGCCAAACTACCCGAGGCATGGCTCAGAAGCAGTGACACGTGCTTATCGGCATCGAACGCGGTAATCGGCTGACGAATCGACCATGTTAGCCTTGGTGGGACCCAACTTCAACACGTTGGCGCGCAGATGAGCGTTCTTGTGCGGGTGGAAGTTGATTTCTCGGTGTGTGTCAGTGCAGTTTTTTTTCGAAGGCATTCGTGCCCTCCATGTCAACGCCGATGGCGACAAACATATGTGGAGATGGAGTTTCGACTTGGAGTCAGTCCACCTACAGTAGTATGAGGTCAGGTTTAGAAATATCATCTACAAAGCGTGCATTTGATTCCCGGCTCCGGATCGAAAAAAGTACATCTTGCCGAACTTGCTGAAGCAAAGTTTCGTAGAAGCTCTGGATTAAGCAAGGTGTGCCGAAGTACGACAATTGATTGTGGAGAGCGACCCTACGCGAAACATTTTCTCAGTCGAGGCTCCATAAGATCATTGATGAACTGTTCAAATATTGACACGGAAGTGATCACAAACTATAACGTACGGGGATAATGCAAGAGAAGTTGCGCTGAGGCGGGCATAATCAGTGATGCCATGCCGGCCATGGCACATTTCAATGCAATAGTTCACCTGCCATTTCCAGAGCAGATTGCCGTCGCCGTCCACTTTGTACGCGATGAAGTCGTATCCCCCCACACTCGGGGTGGCCCACTCGCCGTCATTGATCGTCCCGACGGCGACCACGGAGCCACTGTCTGATGCCGCAACGCCGTAAGCTCTGCAATTTGCGTCAATAGAGTTGTCCTGGTCACCAGCGAACGCAAAATGGGTGGAATGGACACCACCAAGTCAGCTCTATCGAAGAGGCGACACATTGCTTCCCGGAAAACCAGCGTTGATCAATACTGAGATCCGTGTCGTCGTCGGGGAGTCAGGTGACGGATAGACGCGACAGCAATGGCGGGGGTGACTTGATGAAAAAAATCGACGAACCTGCCACCTCCACAGCTCCACTCCTTCATAGTCAAGCTTGAGCGCTGCGTAGCCTTGGTAGTCGCCATCTACGGTGGACCCGGCAAGGATCACGGATCCATCCAGGCCTATGACTGCTCCGGCCACGTATGACAGCGTTGTTCCGTTCTGTGGAAGACGCAGATCTCAGGCAATAAAGGTGATCAATTTCGACCGACTTTGTCACAGCGGGAAATAACCCGCATCGGTCGAGCTGTAAGACAGCATTGAGTTGGTGGGAACTTTTTTCGGCTACCAGATAGAACGTCAATGTTGAACTCTTGGCCTTGGTGCGAGTTTCCCTCATGCTTCCGTTCTAGGCCCGTCCGATAGGGTGGGCAGCTGAATCCACATCATTCTACTGGGCTCTGCAGTAGGCTCTCAAACCGATCAGAGTGTGAAACAAGTTGTGCTCGCTCGAGGTTCCGAAAGTGTCGGAGTTAGAAGCGGCAGGCAACAACGTTGCAACAACGACCTTCCTTCCCTTGCGACATGCGGCGGCGGTAGACAGCGTGGCCAAGCCACATACGTTCACAAGGGAACTCGACGCGAAGATCCGCGGATGCAACCCACAACTAGTTGCAACGCCATAACACAACACGAGAGCCACAAACTACTGTAACATTGCGCCCTAAGCGTACCGAGACTGAACCAGTGAATCATCCGCAAGCCGGCGGTGACCGGAGGTACCTAACTTCGGCGTGAGATAAATGTGGCCAACTCACCAGCCACTCCCATACCACCGCCCCTTCTTCGTCCACTTTCAGTGCCGCCCAAGCAGGATTGTCGACGTCTATTCCCATCCAGTCTCCGAATGTATATCCTGCATCAGCAGACGCCCGGACGTAAGTTCAACGGCCTCGTGTGTATAGAAAGGTTGTTCTCTCGTTATTAGTCTATTGCCGGTCTGCCTCTCCTGCACCCTTGCCGCACAACACAACTAACCCAAAAAGAATAGGACACAGGAAAGCCAGTCTTACCGGTTGTGACAGAGGACCCATCCGAACCCATCACTATCGCAGAAAATGCATCTTCTTCGACAGTCCCACCCTGCGTAGCCCAAAACCACGCGTCGAAGTGACCGGACAAAGCAAGGATAGGTGACGGCGAAAATGATGGACGTGAGTTTTGGGGGGGGCGATAGAAATATTCAAGTATTTTTGCTTCACAGGCGCTCGGCTGCGGAGCCGCTGGTCTGACAACCACTAAAAAAACCCGACTGCATCACAAATACCGTTCAAGACTTTCAACCGTCTCAGCTCACACAACGTGCATGAAGGTTTAGACGAGGACGTTGCCACATGCACGGATGGGAGAGAGGGGTCCAAAACAATAACACTTCATGTTTCGATCAAACTCAAGAACGTGTGACCCGTTCGTGTGGATTCCACACGACAGAAGTGTCACGGTGTAACTGAGGGAGGGATACCCAAAGCATGACCTGCTACATTGTACCGTAGATTTTCGCTTCCATCACGTTAATTTTCGGGCATAACAAATTCCAAAAACTACCCTGTTTTTTTATACAAGATATGATCTCTTGCAAACCCATAGCCCTGTTCCCTCAAGGCTAATGGTGTACTGTAAATGCACAACAAAATGGTACGCCACGCACCAGAGAGCACCTAAACCGCTCAGTACATGTATGTGTGAAATATTGTCAATAAATAATCAATACTAGCACAAAGTGTGACCCCCGTGAGGCTTTCTTGAAGTTGACTCTAAACCCCAACAGCAGGGTTGCAGGAGCAGCAATTTGTAAAACAGTACCGGGTAGATAGAGTGTTTTGGCCGGGGCGGAGGTATGTATGCACCCGTTGTTGTACCAGGAGCGGATTTGCTACATAGACTAAATATATCACAACTGTCAACCAACCTGTGACACTGCTCCCTCTTCCCCGACACTGCTGTATACAGCAATCGGGACGGGCAGCGTCGGACGCTGTTTGTGCCGCTCCTTTACGGTGAGCAATGCTAAGTCGGCCGGCTGCAGTCTAGGAAAAGAATAGTAGATCGATGGAGCAAGACGTAAGTAACATCACGAAATCCTTAAACAATTACACTGTAGACTTTTGGGGCTTCGTGTTTTTATGGTGTGGTGTAAGGTGACACCAGACTAAACTTCTCAAAAGAGAGCGGGGGAAGGGAAGAGGTAGAGGCAGAAGAGCATGTATGCTGTAGAGAGAGTGCGATGCAGCTGTACAGGCAAAGTGCCCCTGTGATCTACGCTCTGTTGCAACTGCGAAGGTAAATCCCCGGTGTCATAATCTACGAGACAGGACTCTGAGGACATTCACCTGCTGGACGTTCAATTTTCACAGCGAGTGGTATTCTATCTTCCAAACGACGCTTCCTGACCTCGACATAGCTCAGCCCGGTAGAGCGACAGACTGTAGTGGCAACCGTAGTCATCTGTTGGTCCTTGGTTCGAATCCGAGTGTCGAGATCTTTTTCTCTCTTTTTCTGTGTCAGATGGACTTGTCTCTGCTTGCGTGTGAAGCACCAAGATTGAACCAAGGGGGTGTACCTCTTTCTCTCTGGCCCGTGATGCTGACTCCTAGTACCTCGCATAGCGCGCAGAGGGAGCGGAGGACTCCAGAATATCTGTCGTTGATTTCTGTTGACTTGTGGACCCCTCGGGGCCAGTTTGTTTGAGTGTACCTTTTTAGGGTAAGGTTGCCTGTGACCACGGGAATCGACCGCGTCAAGTGTTGGGTCAGTACGGACATATGGAGGTACTGGGTAGAGAGAGATCGGAACGGTATTTAATGTGAAGACAACAACAACAATCCAACATCCCGGCCACCCACTGAACTGTATACCTTTCTGCAAGTTTGACTGCAGTCAAGTGTATGAATCGAGAAGGAACAACAGTCGCTCAGCGCATATGGTACGGTAGCTATTTATTTATCTAGATGCTCTCCCGTGTGCTGTGACCACTGGTATGTCGACGTTGAGGCTTAGACTATTCCTTATCTTCATCTATTCCTCTTTTTCTTTTCTGTTGCAGGTACGCATACAATATGCCGCCCTCAGGTGTACATGCACACATGCACGGTTTGTTCCATGGAAAACGGCAGATGGACAGCAAAATATCAAGTGCAACTTTACCTCTAGACCTATAATCGCGAAGTTGGACGGACAAACGGCAGCCTCTTCAGTCTGCCTTTCACTTGCCCACGGTGCTGGTGTATCCTCGTTTGTTTTCTTCTGACATCATCGCACGTATCACCAACACGAAAGTAGCTAAGGTAAAAGGCGCAGGAACTCTTGTAGCACGCGGAAAAAAAATCCGGACACATATGCCACCCCCCCCCCACCCCCTCGGAGGGGGAAAAAACTCCTCCAACTTCCTCATTCGGCGCAGCTGCTGCTAGCAGCTTCGTGGATTTTTTGTTGCTCCAAAACGTCTGAGAGACGACCTCTGCTTGTAGTTTATTGCGATCATGACCATGCCCTTCAGGTCACCATAGGGCAAGCATCAGATCACCGATTACAGCAGTACTATGTATGCATACGTTGACGTCTTTCAGATCTTCCTATGTGCTGTCCCTTTCGAGGAGGGCCATCGTGCTACTGTACATGTATGATGCTACTTGGTGAAAGGGGAAAAACGAGCGTCGAGAAGTCAGAAGGAAACACTATTTCCTATTTCCTGCGGTGCTGCATGCACCAAGGGTCGGATCTACAGGTTCTTAGGATCATGGTGTCCTTTGGTTTGGGTGCTGCCTTTGTTGTGCTCGTGCCGCTATTGTATGGTGAGCAAAGTCAAGTCGACCGGCTGTATGTGTGTGCGAGAGAAGTGACAGACAGAGAGATACAACAAAAATATTGTACGCGTTGTTCGCGTTGACGGTAACAATCGATTCTTCAGTTTTTTTTTAATACATATTCTGGAAACGAGAGCGTGGTCTCCGGAAATCCAAAATTCCGTGGTGTGCGCCGGTGAGAAGTAGACCATAGACGGGTAGACACAGTAATTGGGTCTGCTTTGAACAGTGCGGCACGTACCGCAGTGAGTGGCAGTGCCAACAAGGAGGTTGCAATCGATCGTTGTACGACGTGACCAGGTTGTTTTTCGTCCGGAACTGCTGCTGTCTGTGAGTGACATGTAGTCTAAGAAGATCTGTTTTGATGAAATGAAGGAGGAGCGATGCCATACGAAAGTTAAACCGTCTAAATGCAAATCGTACCCTCATGAATTACCCACCTGCCAAGACCACAGTTCCGTCGCCATTTCTCTGAGCCCTCGTTCAATGGTGTCCAGCTGGGTGTTGCTGTGGGAGAGTGCACTCGTACATTTATATAGTAGTAGTAGGCGGTGAACAACGTTCGCTCCGATTTACAGCAAGTGAGTGGTTGGGGTCTGCGCTACGAAACAAATCGTTCATTTTGCCTGGTGCCCGAAAATCCGACTTTATCTTGCTTGATCTATCTATACATATCTACATATTTTCTCGACCGGTCGGTGCGGTAGCTTTTCTTTCTAGCATTTTGTTTTCTTTCTCCGAGTGGTTTGTACTCTTGTTTTTTTTTTTTTTTGTGATGACACAACGAATCCATCTCTATTTGAGAAAAAAGTCTAATAAGATAGACTAGCATGAATCCATAGCGTCAGAGGAAGGCTACCTGTATTTCCACGATTTCCCAAACAGCACACAGCGACATCTCCCCTGTGGGTAACAGGCTCAACAAGACAGTTTGGTAGCCGTCTTGTGTATCTCTCTGCATGTTATGCTGGAAAGGGTATTATTCTTGTTTTGCTTCCCCGCGGCGTCGTATGTGCCGGGTTTTGCGACCACGGGCTCCCCATTTTTTTGGACTATAGACTAGAGCTAATAATCATGTACATGTAAATGTGAGAGAAACAACAACAACAACAACAACAATTACACACGTTGTTGAAAACTGTTCGGTCCCCACTCAAGTACGTACGCATATGCGTACCGGTGTACCGGTGTACCGGTCCTATTGCTGCTGAGCCCCCAAACAAGCTTGCTTGTTGACCAAACCAAACTTGGACCAAACAGGGTACTACAGCAGAGAAGTACACCAAAGGGGGAAAAAAAATGACCGACGGCGTTTTCGCGGCAGGACTGTACGCGAGAAACAAGAGGTCTTGCTGCTTGATGCTTGATAGACAAGACAAGGAGGAGTCACGGTGATGGTGGGATCCGCGATGAATCCCGCAGCAGCGTTGGTGGGACCACCGTCGTTGCACTTGCAGGTGATACGGCATACTTCCACGTTGCCCCTCTGCTCGTTTGCGGGGAGCAGCCGATTGCGGTGGCAAGACGACACGATTGGACACAGCAGTAGTGGCGCGAGCAGGAGAGGGTCGGCCCGATGGAGGCTGCGGCCTTCAGCAGCAGCAGCTGACGCAGCTGACGAAGGAGCAGACTACGAAGGGCGGGTGGGTTCTTGTTCAGCTTGCCGATGTGCCAGTAGCAGGCGGTACGTTCGGTCTCTTTTCGTTCGTATCGCGGCACAACCACGATATGTATACTGCTGTAGTCACAAACGACCGAAGAGCCTTGAATAAGTATTTCACATTTGAGTGTCATGTTTCCGTAGTGCAAGAAACAGATGATCGGTGCTCTGTGGCTTTTGCCACGCAATAGGCCCAATACAGGCCCAATGTTGCCACTGCTACTACAATAGTTTTCCCAATTTTCCCCTCCTGTTTGAGTCTTGTCTGTAGTCTATACCCGTGCACAACGTTCCAAACAGCAGATTCTCCGTGCACAACGTTCTCGAAAGACAACCCACGGAGAGTCCTCAACCGCGACATACGTTCTCTACCCTTGAATCATAGGACCCATACCTCCAAGCTCTTCTAGCTTTCACCCCCAATCCTGTTCGCGTCCGCGGTGCTTTGGCAGCTTGACAATCCCCGCCGCCCGGTGCCCAACGAGTACCTAGCTGGCTGGGCCTTGACACAATACGATACAGCCTGCCTGCAGCGGTTCCAAGACATGGGTTACACAGGTACGACGTGACAATACCTCCCTTCGTGTAAAACATTGACCTCGTCTTGTTTTTGTTTTTTTGTTCTGTGTTGCGATCTCCTTCAAGTATTTCCCGCCAGTGACGCTGATACTGACACTGCCATCTCGCCAACCAACATTCATCTTCCCTGTGCAGATCGACATGACCGTACGGATGTTGTTTCGCCCTGTACACCCACCATCTATATGCGTGTTTTCTCCAAGCGATCCACGATACCGTTTGACATACTTCACGTGATTCGAACGCGAAAAAGCGACACCCCCCGTCCTTACTCTTCGTGAAGGTGGTGGTATCGGAAACGTTGAAGTCCCGGCGCCTTTTAGCGGACCCCTCAATCAAGCACGTTAATCACATACGGTATGTAGTTGTACCGAACCTCCTACAAATACGCAAATCAAGCAGAGGCCAGAGAGTCAAATGCTTGTCCCGAGCTTGCTGTACCAGCGGCAGTCGCCCCCTTGACGTCTCTCGCTGACCCTAGGACACGTACCAGATTCTGACACGCCTACGAAAGTGAGGCTCAGGCAAGACCTTGGGCTATATAGAAGAAGGTTGTAGGGCTACCAGTGTCTCGGACAACGAGGAGTCGGTTGTGTTTCACACATTCCCCCCCGGCGAGTAACGTGAAGTCGCCCCTGCCACTACTGCTGCGATGCGTGCCGCTACGCAAGACTGTGGTGACCAGGAGTCGTCACCCGAAGAAACGAAAGGAGAGAAGGCAGGGTTCCGTTTGTGGGGGGAGGCCACGAAGGCGTTGATGGACCGGGTGGACATTGTTCACGATCTTGACCAGAGGAGGCTCGCGGCTTCGCGCTACTGGCAGCGGTTGCAGGTGCATGGGTTGGGTAGGGCGCTGTTGTTGGTGCTGTTGGTGGTGGTGTTTGGGGTGTTGCGTATCTCTATTGTCCACAAACTCTGGTTGACTGCCTAACTGACTCGGGTCCTCTACTCCTTCTCGCGAACCAACTATGCCGCAGAGCACCCCGCCAAAGGAGGCACCCGCATCCAACACCGGCAACAAAGGAAAATTCACCGACCTTGACCCCTCTCCTGGTCTGGCCGCGCCAACTTGGGCAGACGTAGATGCTCTTTTCGAGAGCGACAACGGCTTTGTACGGCGAGAAAGCGAGCGATACATCGAGGAGGCGAGGGAGGGCATGCCTTCCGAAGGCGGGTGGAGCGGGGACCGGGTGTCGCGACAGTGGGTGGCGAGCTACCAACTTTCGGTCTTCGAAACCCGTAGGCAGGCCCAGCGGTTTTTCTCGTGGGGCATCCCGGACGAGGGGTGAGTAAGCTTCAAGTAGCAGGAGCTTTTTGACGATCAGTCTCGGTGTTGTTTGTTTGGGCGTGGGTAGGGGTTCGGGTCAGGGTAGGGTAGCGCCCGCATGAAACGCCAGCGTGCAAGCCTCACCCCGGCAACATCTCCCGTCTTTTGTGGACGAGCTACGGTCGTGAGTTTTGGCCAAGTTTCTTTGTACACACGAGGATGCGTATGGTTCTTTTTTCGTCTTTTTCGGCGCAAGGACGCCCCTCCCAGTACTATCCCTTGAACCACCAACTCCGTCTCCTTGTGCGAGGGGCACCTTCGACACGGGGAGAAGGGTTTTCTCCTATTGGTTTTGGCTCGCGAGAGTCTCTTGACGGTGATCCTTGTTCCGATGCCGAAACTCTTTTGTGAGCGGTAGTCGTTCGAACTAAGGTGGGCCCCGGATTCTCATTGCGACCGACGTTGCGACGGGTCTTCTGTGTTACCCCCCTATGTGTACTCGGCCAAACAGCAGATACTGACGTTAGGTAGAGTTCTGCTGTAGTTCCTCGGCGACCGTAGGAATGAAACATCCTTGAACCACTTCTACGCCATTTGTCCTTGCCTGCTTGGCTGGAATGCCCTTGCTAATAGAGCTCTGGACTGCATCCTGGAGCCTGGAAATCGGGTCCTAGAGGTCGGAAGCGGCCTGGGCTACTGGGCCTACCTCTTGAAGCTGCGAAGCGGAGACGACTCTCGCGTGCGCTGCTTCGACCCGTTCGCTCCACCAGCCCGTCAACGTACCGGTAACATGCCTTGCGCGCCGCCACAGGCAGCACTTTTTTTTTTTGTCAGATTTTGGCGGAACACAGCGGGAAGCTTAGAGCGAACCGCTCGCATTCCCCTTGGATTCTCAATGCTGTTTTGATTCTTTGGCCGCTTATGAGTTTCGGAGTTAGGGGCCGCGTTGGTTTGATACTGCTTGTCGGGAGCGCGCATTATGCCGTTCTTCGCTTGGCCACGCCATCGTTTTGAACAGCCAAGCGTTTTTCCCCGGGCCGCAAATGAAGGGGCGGGGTCACATGTACTGCTTCAGCTGCTCCATTAGTCTTGTTGCTTTTCTGCGATGATATTGTAGTGCCTTTCGCCTTCCCCGCGCAGCCCTCGTGAGATGAAGCGCAACAGTCTTTCTCATGCCGTTTGGTGGTACTCGTTCCTACACCAACAGACGGTTTCGTCAATAAATCTCCAAATGTTAACCCTCCACATATACGTTCCGCCGCCGACGCCGTGTCAGAAGTCTCAACCACAGAGGACGAAAGCGGTTATTCGGTCGAAGAAGCACCACCCCGCTCGATCGAAAACGTTCCATCGCCGGAACCAATCAGCATGCGAGAAGAAGAGGTCGACGACTGGTTCGGGGAGGGGCGAGAACCCTTCTCCCCGGCGGAGCGCGGGTCGTTCGACCGAATAGCCCGCGAGGACGGGTTCCGGAAGTGGTCCCTGCTCATCTGCTGGCCGAGCGACGGGCAGTGGCCGGCTGGCTGCCTGCAGGAGTTCGCAGGGAACGACTTCTTTTACGTGGGGGAGGGGGAGGGCGGCGCGACACGCATGCCTTGGCGGGTGTTGAGGGAGGAGTGGGAGCTCGTGAGACGCGTGGAGATACCCACGTGGCCGGGATTCCGGGACGCGCTCTGGTGGTACACAAGGAAAGAACCGGGCGCCTTGTCGCGGGACCGATAGGATTGCTTTCCCTCCACTCCTTGGGGACAAATAAACGCATATGACGAATGGTTATGTCGATGGTTCTTTAGCCCAGAATAAATTATGTCACATGTTTTTCTGTGCACGCCGGATGTTCCCCGACTTGTGGCACGATTGGCAATATGTCTTTGATGCCAGTTTTTTCCTGTGATCGTTGTGACCTGAAAACATGAACAAATATGAAGGTTTTGTTTGTTTCTTGTCGATGTCCATTCGCCTGGTCTGAGGAACCTGTGTATCATTTCCAAAGTTGCGCCTTGTCCAAAAACGGCCCTACGACTCCAATCCACATCTTTTGTTCCAAACCCTCGGTGCTAAATCTTCCTGATTTGAACACGGTTGTTTGTTATCAAAACGCCGCATTGGAACTCCCCAATCACGGAGAGACTTACTACGAGCTCCACCAGGTGATGTTCGTGGCACTTCATTGATCATGTAAGCCGAACATTTCCACTAGCTCTAGGCAAGGCAATGCCTCCACCTTTGATTGAGCAAGCCCCGGATTTCTCCTTTCTTCTCGCTTTTCATTTACAATCTGACAAGGATGCTCCTCTTCTGCCACCAAGGCACAGACGATACCTATCCAATCATGACGGCCAAGAATGTTAACGCCCACAATCCCTGGCAGTGGTCCATGCCGATTCTACTTGAATTCTCTTTGAATTCTCTAAAAAAGTAGCAGTAGCCATCGCACGAATTTCGAACCAAATTTGCCCATGTGTCTTACGGCAGGAAGTTGGAAAGAACCCGGATTTGCTGCAGACCAAAATCACACATCAAGGACAAAAGCGAACGCTCCTCACCCGGAAACCTCTTGTTGCCTCACGACATGGGCAACGAGCACGTTCTAGCAGGAGCTGTAGAATACTGATACAAACCCCCCACACAAACACGACTGTGAATCACCTATTTAACTTGTCCGGGTACTCAAGGAGAAAGAAAACGCCGGCGAACGGTCGAGTCATGACGTCCACGCAAGCCCTTGAAGGGCATGAACAAGCAGCTACGCCCGGCTACCGCCGATACATCGGAGTTCCGCCGCTACCAAAACGATGATGCCGCCGCTAACTCCTTATGCACACAATGACACTCCGAAGAAATTCGCTAGGAAGAGTAGGTGACTGCCCGCAAGAATAACCCTCTGCGCGCAGTGCCGACACGAGCAAGCAACGCGACGCGACACGACCAAAGCGCCGATACCAAGACTAACACCGTGTCGTACGTATATGCCAAACCGTTCGGCCCCAGCCCCCGCTTGCAAAAAAAGCAAAAGGAAGACAGCGTATGATTCGACATTGTATCTGAATCGTCGGAGTTTCCAAAATATTATAACCCACGGCAAGACGTAGTGGTGCAAAGGTGCCGGAAAACCCGAGGCCTGTCCGCTGTCGACAAGCTTTGGTCATCTTTCCCGCTCTTTTCCCTCCGGTTCGTCTTCTCTATCCCGGTCCCCCAATCGCCCGAAAGCGCGGGGACCCCTGCCCTCTCTCGCACCTGAATGGCCTCTTTGTCGAGGGAGAGCTTGGCGGTTTCGTCCAGCAAGCCCGTGCCCAAGAACCTCATGCCAGAGACCGACGAAAGTGCCTCCAGAGGCACCAGGAAATTCCGGAGGTCCGTGTTGTTCGGGATGTCGGCGTTGGGCATGGCGAAGGCGGCCACAAACGTTGTCGGCTTGGAGACGAGCGCTTCTGAGGGAGGCGGGGGATATGGTTCCGCCACGATTATCTGCCAAGAGAAGGACCCAGCCGAGCGACGACGGTAACCGGTGAAACGTGAACGAGTATCTGGCCCGGTGGTGCGAGGAAAAACTGACAGAAGCCAAGGTTGATGAGGTGTGCAGTTGATATGGAGCCTGGAAAACGGTTGAGACGGGAGGGTAGCAACGATCCATGTGCAGCGTGTGTGGGGCGCTCAGCGGTGCCCGTGTTCAGAACGCGCCGCCACTCAAAAGCCTCTCATATTGGCCGAGGCTCGTTTCTTATTTTGTCTATGGGGTACTGTACCCCCACACGACGCGAGCGCATAACACGGCTAGCCTTGACCCATGCACCACACCACAAGCGTGCGCGCGCGTGTCCAAGAAAGGGGCAGGATTGGGCGTTGTGGGTCCGGTTCCCTCTTAAGGCATGCTGGCATAACCACCTTGAAGAAGTGAGTAGGCACCGCCACCATTTGCATAGGGTTTCCTAGTATGTCGTGCTTGACGACCCACTTCGTAGCTGCGGGTGTACGGGAGGATTGCGATGGCACATCCACGGCCACCCCCTCGGCTTGTCCTTGGTCGATGTCGACCGCTGCGTCAAGACAGCCGAAGACAGGAGGAAAACAAGCAGTTTTGACACAAACGTGAGTCCGAACGCACAGGCACCACACTGACGGAAGCAGCGGTACCCTAGCACCAATACATCGGGGCGTTCGCAGACTGGATGTGTAAAAACGTTTGTAGCGTTCGCCTCCGGGGGCCGACAAAAGCACCTCGCGGGGGAATTTCATTAGATGCGTTGCCGCGGAGAACCGCAGCACAACCAACCACCACGGGTGCTGTCGACGGATTGTAGCTAACCCCATACAATGTAGTCACCGCGGAATTTCCTGTTACCTACCACCCCAGCTTGCGTTACCGCGATACGGTAACGCGGATCACTGAATTTTTCGACCTCCACTACAATTGATAGCACAACACATGTATGGCACGCACAGACAAGTTTCGCCTCTAGAAAAATCAGCACAAGTAGAGGCTACAGTGGGGGGCCCTCTATAGTGCCGGTTGAATAGTGCCAACTGCCGGTATAGTGCCGGTAAAATCTCTCCACACAGAAAGCGCCCTCAATAGTGCCAAACGGCACTATTGAGGGCGGGCCTGGTATAGTGCCGGTTGGGCACCACGTCAGCCCGCAATAGTGCCGGTTCACACACGCACGCACACACACCACCACACTCCCAAAATACAGACACCGTGCTGCTGCAGTCCAACACAGCTCTACGCAGAGGCGCACCATGCCGTGTGCGGAAGGTGAACTGTGCCTTCAACAGAACAGAACGCCGAAGGCCCCTCATGGCCACGTCTGCAAGGGAGGATGTGGCGGGCGGCTCCATGGCACTTGCGGCAGCGTGGAGGGTGACTTCGAAACATCCCGCATCTGCAGTTCTTGCGTCGCTGCTAAGACTGGCAAGCGCAAAGCGACCGCAGCTGGGGTTGATGCTGGGGCGGGACCATCTAAACGTCCGACAGAGAAAGGGGGGGGGAAGAAGGCTTCTCGTGCGCGGCTGAGCAACGCTGACAAGGTTGAGGTCCTCAAGCTGCTGGATGCCAAGATTTCTCATGAGCAGATAGCAGATCGCTTTAAGTGCTCGGAACGGCTGGTCCGCAAGGTGAAAGCTGAACGGAAGGAAGTGGAGGCTAAGGCAGCTGCAGGCGACGGAAGCCAGAAAACCGCACGCAGAGGAGACTTTCCGGAGGTAGGTAGAGTACACGACATGCCTAGCAATTTCCTCTCGAACGTTGTTTTTCCCCCCCATTTTCAAAAATGCCCTCATGTCGCCGATTTCTACTGCTGTACCTTTTTTTTTTTTGCCCTTCCTTGTTTCTTTGCCTTTCCCTTTTCGTCTTTTCGTATGTATCATATCGTGTTTTTTTTTTTCATGTCACCTCCTTTTTTTCTTTCTCTTTGCCTTTTTTTGTTATGTCTTTGGCCTTTGAGGTCCTCGATGTCCACACTCATAGACCTTCCGATTATTTGTCCTTGAAATTGAAAGAGCACTGTTGTGTACATATTCGCACCCGCTTTTTTTTCAAAACAAACAAGCAGATGTAAGCAGATGTAGCCTGTACGAGCGTCTCCTCGCAACTTTCCCTTTTCCCTCCCGCAATTTTTTCTTTCCGGGTGTAGTGGCACTTAAAAAACATCAGCTTTGTTTACGGTGTACCGCGGCGTCGTCCCTCGTATCTGCGCCGCGCAGCGTAGATGCTTACGTTTGAAACTAACCGTTGGTCGCTTGAACCTCTGCATTGTATACTCTTTTTCGCCGGCAGGTGGATGAGATAGTTATTGATCTGCTCGATAAAGTCCGGAAGGCCAAGATGCCCGTCACACGGGACGTACTTCGAAGCTTCGGCCGTTCCACCGTGGCAACCCTGCTCGCTGAGCCCGCTACTTCTGCAGCAGTGAGGGCGAGGGTCGAGGACTTCAAGGCCGGTGAAAAGTGGGCCAAGAACTTCGTGAAGCGCAACAAGGTGCTGAGTGCGAGACTTCATGGCGAGGCTGGTAGTGTCGACCCAGCGGCCATCGAGAAGGGCATGGAGGAAGTCAGGAGCCTTTGCGCGAAGTACCCAGCTACATGAGGACACGGGGGGCGGCCGCCGCGCCCCACCGGCTTACGGTGAACTGTCTTCTCACTTCGGCGTCCTGGAGGTGGCCGCGCGGGAGAGTGGAAACGGGGACGCTGCGTTCCACCTATCGAAAGCGAAGATGGCGATGATCGCGGCGCATGCCGCTAAGGGCGTGCGCCAGACAGACATGAGAGAGTTTGTTGATGAGTGAGGGGGGGACAGCTATACCGCAGTTTTTTTCTTTTTGTTTTGTTTTATTTTTGTCCGCTTCGTTGCTGGCGCGTTTATTGGTTTTGTTGGCGTGTCTCATCACGCAACATCGTAGGGAGGCAGCGAGGAACGTGATATTTTTTCAAGTATACTAAGTTGCACGGACGGGAGCTGTACACGGGGTTTGGCTCCGAAGGTGAATTCTGCGCGTGCATGTGGGAATGGTTTCGCGGCAAACTCAGCTATCAGAGTGGAACCCACGTTTGTCTCAGAAAAGGCTGCCCCTGCCGCCCACAAAGTATATTCACCACACTCGATCCACATGCTACTCTGTTGGCCTCGCAAATGGTAAGCGATACACCATGAACTCAAACAGCAGTGCCTCAGTAGTGCCAGACCGGCACTACTGAGGGATATCGATCACCCGAATAGTGCCGTTTGGCACTATTGAGGCACTATTCCCAGTTGTGCCGGTGCCCGCTATAGTGCCGGTGAACGCCCTGCGCACGTACCGGCACTATAGAGGGCCCCCCACTGTATATTACTTCTACGGAATCGTCGTCTCACCGTTGCCTGTGCCGGCTACCGATGCCGTCTCCTTTGACGGGAGGAAGAGCGGCCCGGTGATGACGTAAACGTCCTTGAACGGCGGCGACAGCGACGAGGAGGTCGAGAACCCCGCCGCCGCCGCCGCTTTGATGGACCTCTCGGACGGCACGACGAGGGTACGCACGAACTCCTCGAAGTCGCCCCAGTACCCGCGGTTGAAACTTGGCACCTGCACGAAGCGGGTCAAGAAAAACGGACGGACCAATAAGAACGACCAAACTATTCACTAAAGAAAAACTCTGCCACTCGCTGGTCAGAGGAGTGAAGGTAACGACGGGTTCGGCATTGGAGCGGGGTCGGATGGGCGGGTTGAATATGGAATTGTGCTGTCAGTCTTGGGGGGAATACGGGGGGTGAGGCGAATTGACTCGTATCGGAAAGGACATGGTCTCGGAAAGCCTGCAGACTGGTCAGTAATGAAATTTCGCCCCATTTTCCACAGCTCTCTAGTTGTTGTATTCTGTGTCTTGAGCTTGGTTTCGCTGAAAATGCGACGACGAACCTGCCTAAAGGCACCAAGCAGATACCGTCGTCCTCTGCCTAAACAACTTGTCGAGACAAGTCAGTTGTCTGCGACATAAAGTCTACCCCGCAAACTACACGTCGCTGCCTCTTCAAACCACCGCCTACTGCAGTTTGCTGTTCTACAATTCACGGGTACTTGTGATTGATCTCGACACGCGTTTTGCACCAGATTTATTACCAAGTACATGAGGACGAGCGATAAGCACTCGATCAACCGTCCGCCTATTCTTGCAATGGTATCTGAAAATGGCGTGTAGAATCTCAAAGACAAGAGCTCTCAAGGTGAAGCTGCGATGTGAGCCACGAGCACGACGGCGCCAAGCCTCCAGGAGTTGGTTGCGGCTGCTGTAACGATATTCTCGCCGCAAGGTCAGACCGGGACAAAAATGTGAAAGATCATCTGAGGCACGGCTTCACTCCGATTCTCCGGGAGTTGGTTTGCGGCTGAAATTCTCACCGCAGGTCAGATCGGGGAACACAAATGAAGGATTGGTTATGACTGTATCGAAATTCTCGCCGCAAGGTCAGATCGGGACACACACGTGAACTTTCACCGGAGGCACTCGGAGCATCACCTGGGGCGCCATGTTTGAGAGCAGAAACGTTTGCGTGAGGTTGGCCTGAGTTGTCTTGTGGTCGCCAGCCGGTGCGAGGTGCCCCCGATCGTAGCCGCTCCCGTAGAAGTCCGACAGGCTGCTCCGGAATAGAGGCTGCAACCTTGAGTCCGGCCGGAAGGGAGACTGAATGGAGGAAAAAACGTTATCGGAGAATCCCCCCAGACCACGGCAAGTTGGTTGCAGGTCGGAGACCTTCAGAAGACGATGTGGCGAAGCAGCAACGAGAGGGAACGACGCTCGCGGGACTACGCAGGACCTAGGCCGGTGCCGCACAGCAGGTGATGCACTCTATGGCAATGCGTCCTGCACTGTGCGCGCCCCCACACACAAGCTCTGGAAACAGGATTGCACGCCATATTCCAAGTCAGGGAACAAGACATCGAAGATTCCAACTAGCACGTGCATTTCGAGGTCCTCCGGCAGGGTGTCATCATCCGCACAACGCTGAAGCGTTGCCAACAGACAGAAACCGCATGCCAGGTAGCATCCTACGTGTGTTGTTCCGTTGGCGAAAGCTCAACATGTCCTGGTATTCGGGCTTACTGAAAGAGAGAACACACCAGAAAATTCAACAGGGGGAAAACACACACCACGGACAGCACCATCACCAATAATCGCAACAAACGACAACGAGGAGGACGACAACCAAAGCTGGTAGTCTTCGATGAATGGATACTGTACCTTTTTTCTGTCTCCCGGGCCGGACACGGTGTTGAGGTTGATGCGTTCCACGACCCACCGAGCGTTGCGCGTGCGGCTATCCCAGCAAGACGTATACTCCTCGGACGGTAGGATCACCTGGCAAAACGGTTCGCGTGCGGCTGAATATTTCGACTTGGTCGTCGTTGTGTCTGAGACGGTACTGGGCAGATCAGGACGACCCTTCAAAGAAAACGCGCAAGGGTGACTGAAACGACTACCCCCCTTTGTGACACATGCATGTGGTCAAAATAAATAAATATATTACGTATCGCCTAAAGGTAGTGGTCGAAACATTCGCGAAGAGAGCGGTGAATGCGAGTAGGATGATGGAAGCAGCAACATGACGCGGAGGGAGCCAAACATAATACCAGCAGGATGAAAAACCTTTGTAGACACGTGCATTCTAGCTGCTACCGTTTCTCTCGTCAATCCGGAGAATAGCCACATAATGGCCGTTATTATAGACGTGTTTTCCGTTTTTGAGAAGCAATGAAACTGACGGTTAGCACATTCGATGCTAATACCAAACAGACATAAAGGCGGAGTGTTCCTTTGAGAGAAGTGGATTGTGCAGATGTAATGTGTACGTTTCACACTCGTGGCAGCCAACGCTGAAGCCGTTTTGTACCTGATCCAGGTCCGGATATCCATAGCGCTTGACGAAAGGCATGATAAACGCTGACGCTGGTGCTTTGCCGTTGTCCTCCTGCGCCTGTGGCATGCACAGCAGGCGTGGAGGATGGTCTGCGGGTCTTTGGACTCCGAAGAAGGCACAGCAGTACCCTACTGCCCTGCTTGCAGGGCGCAGATATTCTCTTGGTCGTGTCAGTGATGCGACAAAAAAACAAAAAAGAATCAACGATAGGAAATGAAGAGCAAAGGCCACCTTAACGGGAATAAGCTAGGGTTCGGAGGCTCTTCCGCGTGCCATGCACTCAGCAGCTGTAACCGCACCAAGGACCCAAGGGAATACCGTAAGGTAGCGATTCATCGCACCCCCGTGCGGTCGTGTTTAATTTTTTTTCGCCATTAAATTTCATCGCACAGGGGGTGCGATGACTCCGAACCGTGCGATGACTCTGGACCCTTTGCGGACATCGAAATAAATCATTTGGGTTTTAACATGTACCATAGCTCCGGGATGTGCTGTCCTGAGTATAAACACTGAAGGCGATAATATCAAGAATTTAAAGGGGGTGAAGAAAAGGGGTTGAGACGCTGGCTCTTTTTCCAATACTTTAATCCTATACAAAGAAAGAAAACAACCTTCCCGTCAGGGTTAGGTGTCGCATTCTATTGTCATCAAGAGGACATCATGAAGAGGCGTTGTGCGTGCTGGCACGTTCAGGTTTTGCTGCTTGTGCTGAGATATCGAAGGTCGCAGCAGCCCCTGAAAACTGTCCGAAATCTGCGCCGGAACTAAGCGGCATCCAACATTTGTCACAGCCGTGCTCACCGCCACGGATAATAAACCCGTGAACCACGGGTCTTCAGCAGTAGTTGAGGCCACTACTGCTGTAAACCCGCAGTTCAGTGGATTGGAGTTAGTGGCGGCGAGCACGGCTGTGACAAATGTTGGATACCGCTTGGTCCCATCGCAGATTTCGGACTGTTTTCAGAGGCTGCTGTGACCTTCGATATTTCAGCTCCAGTAGCAAACCTGAACGTGCGAGCACGCGCGACGCATTTTCATGATGTCCTCTACTGATGACAATATAATGCGACATCTAACACCTTGTTTGAGCGCCTTCCGTTTTGGCTCTTTTGATTAGAAATTAGAATGGTGTGAATTTTTATCTTGATTTCAAGGGAGGCGTGTGGAGGTAGACGCGTGAAATGTATGTATTGAGCAGCCTCTACTGCCGCCCTGTGCGAGAATCAACTTTTTCTGTTTTTCGCGCTGCCTTCCTACTGGTCTGGTGTGGCTGTTGTGCAATTTCTGGTGCTTTTGCATTTGATTTCAAAAGTAGCCAACTTCAAAATTCGTCTTCTGCACCCCCTTAATTAACGCACACACCCCTGTGCGATAACATGGTACGGTATGTGCGGTACTCAAAAATCTTCACAGGCGCACGGACACCTCACTCAGTTGAGTTAGCGCGGTCGATGCCAATAAAAATACACACACACAAATTATACGGCGGAATAAAATGCGGCGAAATACGAAATCCCGCAGGCGGAAAACATAATTTCCCGCCGTCGAGGTGTGCCCACACACGGCACGCGACATTGGCTTATGGGGGTTTCTTATGTTTTGGTTGAATGGACATTTTTCAAGTTGACCAATCCAATGGAAACCGTGTTTTTCGTTTCCTTCATACCTCCACGTGTGGTGTGCGACGATGACATACCCTTAAGCAGAGCTATTAATACCATGCCAGCATGCCAGCACTGGCATGGTTGCAGGGGTGAAAGTTGCCCCGGAAGCGCTGGCACTCAACTACACTTGTACCCTAAATAGGTTGCGTGCGAGTCATGGCCCCCTGTGTGGGTGGTGACTCCGGACCCTGTGCGGAAAATCGAATCAAATCTAGCCAGTTGATTATTATCGCACGGGGGTGCGATGACTCCGGGCCGTGCGGTGACTCGCAACTCGCAACCGGAACTGAGCAGTACAAAATGTACTACTGTATGAAATCACTCCGCCAACGCCCAGACAACGACCCGGTTGTCACATATGCATTTTTTTATGCAGATGTGCATCGCAAAAGGTCCCAGATAAGGCAAAGAATGATGATTGGCGTTCACCGGCTGCGGCAGAGGTAGACTTCTCGGTGTAGAAACCAACATATCATCCTTCTTGGCGTCGTCTTGCGCTGGACCCTCTTTCCTGCAGGCAAATGTGTGTACAGCAGTCCAAGCGTGTCCGGTTGAACGAAGGAGTCAGCTCGTGTGCCGATGCGAGCATGTACTGCTATAGTTGCCCCGCATCAGGTCACGAAGTTCACATGCTCTACTCTGTCCACTCACCCGCGATCCCACAAGTACAAGTACATGCCAGCTGCCCCAGCGGCAATGCCGCTCCCTGCCGACGCGAGCAGCATCGCGACCGTCTTGCTCATGGCACTACTGCTTTTCTGTCCTGTGTGTGCTATGTATAGTGGGTTGAACAAGGTCGAACATGCGGAAGACACGCAGACAAGATTCGTTTAACGTGCACATACCTGCGGAGTCCCATTTAGCGTGCCTCTCGGTTTCGCGTACCTGCTGCATTCACCACTTGAAGGGCGAGAACACACGCCTCCCTCTTGCGTGTTGGGCACGCCGACAAACACCGACAGCACCGACTGCACTCAAACCAAAGGGGAACAGTCATGTCTGCCGTTGTAGGCACTGCCCCAGCTCTGCCGATCAACCCCGCGGACTGGTCCTACCTAGCCGAAGGCGGCTTCCACATTATCCTTCGCTACGACGGCGAGGACCCGGTGCTGTCGGGCCGGATCCTCAGAATTGGGAAGAAAGCTCTCGGCCACCAGAAGGAGGAAGGCGGGAAAGAGCCCGCTGGGCCTGCTGCTGCGGTGGTGGTGCCGGACGAAGCTGGCGCGAGGAGAAAGTTTGAGCGCGGCGTGCTTATCCCGTTGCTCGGGGAGCAATACGTTCAGCCGGGGGATGCGGTAACGCTCTCTCGGGAGGACATATGGAAGATCCACCTGAGGTACAGCAGTAGCTTGTTTGAGGGTTGCGTGCTCTTGCGCTCTGGCCTTTCGCAGCGAGGGGCGATGGCATGGGCGAAAACGTGTCGTTGGTTTGAACCTGTCAGATTTTCTAGAGTGCCCTATGCACACATGCTTCCAACGCGCTATTTTATTGCGGACGATGGTAGAATATAGCCAGCCCTTAGCTTTCTACAACCTGCCTGGTACAAGTATGCATACTCCTGTTCCAAGTTGCCAATTTCTTCAGCAGCACTGTAGACTACACATAATACCGCGTGTACAAGTAAAGATATGCAACCAAGTAGATGCACTCTCCGAGGCATACCGCAGTTGCTCCATTTCTTCAGTGAGGTCACGCTAAACTTGTTTCTGAATCTGCGTGTTTGACTCGGGATGGCTACGGCCCGTGCAGGCTCGTTCTTTGCTACAGGTAGCATTAAAAATCAAGCAGGTGGCCCTCACAGCAGTAGCTAATTTCGCCCGAAATTACATACTTTTAGCGCCTTGCAAATGCCGAACCTAAAGCAACGAGTTAATCCTAGATAGGGCGGGGTAATGAGCGGGGTATCAATTCAAATACCTTGCAGTAGTCTACCTGCGATGCTGTGCGATGAAGAACGTCGTTGAAAATAAAAATAATACACCAGCAGAGCGAGGAAGGAGGAGCCCAGCCAACACAACGCCCACACGGTATGAGCAAGGCGGCTACAGGTGCTTTGTGTGTGCGCCCCCTTTGCACAATTGCGGAAATTGCTCTCCGTTGACGTCACGAACTCAAGAACCAAATATTAAGTCTTTCCGCCGTGCGCGGACGCAAACACGCAAATCGGGAAGAGGCACGGTGCTGCGTATACCTAGCGGCGAGCATATCACATTTGGCGCAGGGCACCAGCAGCAGCGTAGGCATCGCATCGTAACAGATAAATGCGGCAGGCTTACAACTTACCGCCACACCCTCCTCAAGCATGCCGATTCCCGCGAAGTGAACGCAAGCAGTATGCATTATTTTTCTCTCAGGCAACAGAAAAGTTTTTGTGATAGACTACATGGAGTTCACGAAGCGACTCAGCAGCAGCAACATCAGTAGGCAGAAGGCCTTGCCTCAATTAACATGTGTCTTCGAAGACAGTCGGTAGCACGGCGTAAGCAACCTGAACCGATCCCGGGCAACCATTCTGAGAATGCACAGCAGTAGACCCGCACACCCTCGAAGGTTCTCTCGATGGTGGGTAGGCTCTCGGCTTGGGAACGTGTGTTGATGTGTGTGTGGTGTCATCACTCTGACGGTTGAACATGTGGAACAATAAGCAACCAAAGGCATGGCTATTCCCACGACGCGCAGGTCGTATTGGCCCGACCCCTGCTGTTTTTGATAGCTGGCCTCGGATCTGTGGGGGATGGATGGTACGTCCCAGCGTTGTTGCGTTGGTAGTTGAGTGATATCTCTGTTTCTCTTGGCTTCATTTCGTACGTGGGATCTCCGCTTGGTGTTCCCCGTTAACCTCTACACTTCCGGGGCTTGGGTGAGGTACCTCCTCCATCAGATTTTTTGGCACAAAATGCGTGTGTAGCACGGCCACCTGTTTTAGGAGCACGACCATACCGGTGCGACAAAGAGAGCCCTATTTTGTTCCTCCTCGAAGCCAGCAGATCGTTAGTTGGTGCTGTATACGTCTTGTTTGGGTCGAAAAGGAGGGTTATTCAGGCTTCGCCGTAGCTGCTGACCGCTATTTACTCGATTCATCGTAATATCTCGGGCCTCCTCCAGCAGAAATACCGTGCAGGCATCCATGTCGCGACCGCATCTCCCTGGACAGTGCGCTACCCCTCAGGCCTGCAAACCAGCAAATATTTTTTCTTGTTTTTATGATCGGACAGCACCATCCTGAATCTGTTTGCGAAATCGCTCGTGATTACTGTGCTTCCGCGCGTTGGGACAAACGAAAAAAGCATTGACCACCTGCGTCCGGAGGGGCGCATCAAGAAGGACAACGGAGACTGGTCTTCGGCCTGTCAACTGGAGCCAGACAAGACGGCCTTCTGGCTCAAGCTTCCCTCTGCACCCTCAACCGCCGGTCCAGCATCCCCAACAGAGGATCGCAAGAAGAAGGGCATCGTCATCGCGGTCGAGATTAAGCCCAAGGGGGCGACCATGCCGGTAGGAACCCTGGTGCCACCCGGAAACAACCGTCTCAAGTACCGCGTCGCGAGGTTCGACGCCCAGCAGAGGTTCAAGGCGCAGGTAACTCGTTGCGGTCGGCACCTTCTGTTGTTCAGAGATTTGACTCCGACGCAGTCACAGCGGTGTGTCCTTCATGGGGGACCAGGGAGGGCCATGTATCTATCTGCGACTCTAGACTCCTGCTAGCGCTGAGCCACTTGCCTCAGGTCTTGTTTCAGACGCAGGCAACAAGTCGACTTTGCGGGAGAGATGCATCATGGAGGTTATTTGACACAGATATTGGCCTCTCCTTCGTTCCCCACTCCTCACACCGCCTCGGTGTGATCTGAAAGTTGCACCCAGAAAAAGTCGATAGTTTTTTCGATCCGATGCCGCGATGACTGATCCTGTTGGGTTGGCCATGCGCCCCGAAACGTCTCACCTTCATCGGTCAGTCAACGTGCTACTATCGTGGCGGAGAACCCATTCTGTGGTGATGGCGTTGTTCTCCAGTTCATTCTCAGCAAAGGCCTGAAATGATGCGCGACGATAGCCACTCCGTATTCACACTGGTTCAGCCCCGTGCCGAAACTCATCTATTGAGCAAACAATGCTACGTGGCGTAATATTCGGGGAATCCAATGCCATTGTACCTAGAAGGCACGGAGGCGTGTCCCTCATGAGAATCCCTGCCCCCCTCCCTCCCCCCAAGAAGAGAGACAGATGGGACTGGACGTGTAAAGATTTTGCCATGTTCGCTGGTAGATGGACTTCTCCAACCTTGAGCGAAAACAATGGTGTGCATGAGTTTCAAACACCGTCAGGGGACTGGGAGAGCTGTCGACAGTGCTCGGGAAACATCACTGAGCCGGTTCTTCAACGCGCACCCCGGCGTACTCTTTTTTTGTTGCCTAAGTCACGAGAAGCAACGGGTCGTTGCGAAACATATGCATACAGTGAAGGACCCTCAATAACGCCGGTATGTGCCCGGCGCATCGACCGGCGCTTTCCAGAGGGGCCGACGCCATTCACCGTGCAGAATGATGCTTCAGTCTGTTCCCAATCTCACCGGCGCTGTACGTGGCCCCCGGCGCTAGTCAGCCGGCATTATTGACGCCCCCCCCACTGTACCTCCTTGACGCGACTAACTGTGCAAAGGGAAAGCAATCCTGGGGGTCCATCGACAGGCCGTGCCTGTACCATCCCCGGGAGTTGTACTCGGGAGATGCGGGTCGGGCTGCAGCAACCCTCAAGGAGCTCATGAAAACGCCACAGAACAAGCTGAGGGCGTGGGAAAACGGAAACATGCTGTTCGGGGCCGGTTCCGGCAAGGGCGGGGAAGACATGACGGAAAGTGGCGAGACTGCCGGGGAGGTGGCGCTGGGCAAGGCGGTAGTGGCTGCGAGGCTCGCTGGCGGAGACGGGTGAGAGGTTTGCTGCCCTGAACCGATGTGTCCTGCTGTTCCAGCTGGTGCGGTGGAGGAAACCAATTTTTTCGTGCGGGTACATTGTTTTCACTTCGGCTTTTTCTCTCTCTTTTTTAACGCTCCCGTCGTTGGTGGCGAGATGTCCACTCTGGTTGTTAGGTTTGTTTCTGTTCATTCGTGACGGCCACACGCGCTTTAAGTTTCTGTGGGTTTCCCGTTTCCGTGGCGATGGGTTGCAGGACACCCGCGGAAGCTCTGATGGACTTGGTGGGCGAGATCCTGGCGAAGGAGCCGCTGGTTTCGAGGCTCGTGGCAGCTCAGGCGTTGGACGTCCTCGAGGTCGAGGGTGGGGGTCTCGTCTTCGACAAGCTTGTCTCGCTGTGCGGAGGCTCAAAGTGAGGATTGCGTCGTTGTCGCCGGTTTTCTTTCCCGACGTCGCGCACCTCTTGCAGGAGGATAGGAGGTTCGCAAACGCGAGTTGTTGTGAGTGTCGGTGCGTGTCGTTTTCTGATCTTGGGGTCTTTTTTGACAAGTCGTGAGTCCGAGACAGTCATGTGCTTTGTTCGGATGACTGTAGCGGTGCTGCCTCTCTCTCGGAAATCTGTTTTCTAGGCATGTGAAAGCCGGTGTTTGAGTAGAAACCCGCGCGGCCGTTCGTTGAGAATACAACTGCCGCCGTTCTCTTTTCACCAAAAGGTGGACACCCGTGCCTCTCTAGTTGTCAAACATGTGTGTCATGCCAAGGGTGCAGAGATTGAGCCTTGCCACCCTCGTCGGGGCCCGATCTGCAGGGAAGAGGCTCTCAACATGCTCGAGGCTCAGGAGTCGGATCCTTTCGTGGCTGAGCCGACAGACAAGGACCTGATCGTGCCCAAGGCTACCCTCGAAGCGCTGAGGGCGGGTTCGCCCGTGTTAGCCGGGGAAGCGAGCAGCATTGACACCCTTCACGCCAAGGGGCTGCTTGCCGTAGAGAAACTGGGCGTCAAAGACTGCGTGCAGCTGCTGAGAAGGTGGGTTATGTCCACGGCTTGCTGGAGGCGCGCTGACTTCTGCGTGTTTGTTGGAGAGGAGAGAGAGAGGTGTCTAGTCCATCATCATCAGACTGAAAAAGGCTCTTTTCTGGGTGCAGGGCCGTTCGCTTGTATACCGTCGTTGGTTTTTTGGGTGTCGCCTTGAATCAGACGAGGTGCCCAGAATCACCTGGCGTTGTTTTTTTGGTTGTGTGTTTGTTTCCTTTTTCGACCCGAGTTGCAGGAGTCTGTATTTTTTGTCCATTGTTCCATTGTTCCTCTTGAGTCTCACAAACGGTACCATGGAAGCAAAGGAGGCACGTTTGCCGTCACCCGCATGCATCCATATAAGACCCAGTAATTTCAGCGGTTCCGCTACCGCTTGCACCCAACGTAGTACCCCGTTCAAGGGGGGCTTGCTAGAGGTCGAGTCTTCACCGCATACTACCTCAACCTCTCGTTCCTCCTCTCGCGGCTCTTTGTTGGCCAAGTTCTGTGCGTTGCACGGAAGCTGACGAGCTGCCTTGTGGTGCGGCTGTATGGGCACCAAATAGGATCCCGCTCATTTTTTTGGCGAATGACTTCGAATCTCCATCCATGCGTCGTTAGGTACATCATCGCCCTCGGCGTTATGGACTGCAGCGTGATGATGTCGCTCAAGTCTATTCCCGCTGAGCCCGAGGGTGGTTCCGGCGGCGAGGGCCAGCCGTCGGCAGTACAAGGCACGGACGTGGCAGGCGTGTTTCAGACGGGGGGCGGCCGGAGGGTGGCGTACTGCGTCTCGGTGGTGGATGCCGGGCCGAAGCCCCCGACCAAGCTCAGCGGAAAGGCCAAGCACGAGGCCGAGATCTGGGACTTCGTGGCCGGGCTGGAAGAAGCCGGCCAAGTCATATGAAACCCTGATTCAAGTTACGATGCCTGTTTTATGGAACTTCTGTACCTATAGCTGAAAGTCGACATACCAGGACAGGCTATTTCGTGCATGAGCCAAGCGTTGAATAGCAAACGAAGGGTGTAGAATATTGTTATATTTTCTGTGTGCGTGTTGGTTTACACTTGTTTGCGCGTGTCTTTATTATTTGCATCGACCGCGCTAACCGGCTGACCAATGGAAAGACGTCAGTCTTAGTGCGGTTGAAAACACAAAAAACTTGTAAATGTCATGAACTTTGCGTTTTGAGGGAGTGGTGTACTGGGGTGTTCACCGAGCGTTCTATTCGGCGGGGAGGAGCGGTTTGAACATTTGAATCGCTCCGTGACACGAGCAAAAAGACGCGCTCCGCCCCGTGAGTTTTTCCCCTCGGATAAACGGCTCCGCTCCGCTCCGTGAGGTCTTCCAAAAATCCGTAAGGGTTTTTTTTGCGGAGCGGTTTGAGCTACTCCCGTTGCATAATCCACGGTTAAGATCGCGAAATCCGCGGCTAAGACCACAATACAGCCCCGGTTTTTTCACTGAGTCGCGCTTTCGCACGGTGAGTCTTTCGCTAGACGTTCTGTGTGTGCAAGGCTTCCCCAAACACACGCGCATATATCAGGAAATCGTACGCACGTGCGTACGGCCGCCCGCACACGCACTATGTGCACCTTTGCCCACTCACAGAGAGAGGTAGTTTTCATGGCTGGGGTTCGTGTAAACTCATCTTTCGCAGGCAATGACGCCCGACCATACCGAGATGGTTGTGTTGTTCCCCCATGTCGAAGCCCGACCATGCTCCGGAGACCAAACAGCTGTTGGACCATGAGTTGGGGAAACTGCTCGCAGTTCAAAGTCTTGGGAAGGCGAATGCCGCATCATCTGTCGGAGCTGCTCGTGCGGGAGAGCAAGTGGTTCTCGATTTCAAATCTGGCGCTGTTTTGGGCGTAATTCTCTTGTAGTAGGTGGTGATTAGTGCATAAGGCATGTCGTCCTACCCATCACATGCATGCACGCTCCAACAGGAGAGGAGTAGGGATGTTAACTGCTGCAGCTGTTTTGTGCGTATTGAGAAACGAATAGGGCGAGGTGGTATCGATGTGGGCAACGGTCCCTTCACTTAACTTGACAGCGTGTTTGTGTCGTCTGCGCTGTTTAGCCGCGAGGGTGCCTACGGTGTCGCCGGCGGCTTCCTGCACTCAGCTACTTTCGATTTTCCAAACCCAACGTGTTTCACGAATTTGCGTGCACTCCGTCAGTACAGGTATCCGAACGATATAGGCGCTTTTTTCTGACGATGCAGCGTCAAGGTCACGGTTTCACGCGATCCATGCTACGGAGGAAAATAAATCGCCCCGTACAAAACGTGATACAGATGAACCGCTCCGCTTTGCTCCATGACTTGAAAACTAATCAGAAAAAATCTCTGCCCTCCGCTCCGCGAAAAACTAAGGGAAAAAAACACCGGAGGGTTTTTCTCCGTGATGTGAACACCCCTTGTGTATACAGACAGCGCGCACTACAAGAGCTTCGCAATTATAATTTCTGATCATTTTTATGCTCAACGTTTTAGCAAACTTTGGGACTGGAGCACCATTTGTGAGCCCCAACAGCAAAGTCTATTATTCGGCAGTTAACAGCCCACAAGAGGCACTAAGAACCCCGCCTCGGCCACAACTAGAGGAACGCTATCTCTAGCACCGCTTCCGTTTTTACTTTTCAAGAGAAACTCCTCGGGAGTAGCATGTACCCATTGTGTTTGCGGCATCAAGAGCAATGGTTTCCGCATACGCAACGTCACGTAACCACGACCAAACTTGGGTGCATTTTGCGCACGCGACCATCAAGGCATGGTAGGTGATGACGCCCGGGACAACTCCCAACGCGCGCATTTTCTCCAGCAGAAATACTCTTTCGGTCCACCGTCCCCTTTTCAAACAAGCGCCCATCGCCGAGGTGAAACTAACGGCATCGGGGGTAAGCCCTGCCTCCCGCATCTCGCCCAGTAGTTCCAGGGCCTCCTCCTGCTTTTGCGCACGCCGCGATGGATGGGTTATGGTTGATAACATTGGGGGCTACCCCACCGTGGGCACATCTCTCAGTATGTTCAGAACCTCGCTTCACTGGTCCCCTTTTCGCGCACGCGCCGATAGCAGAGTTGACCTAATGGCGTCGGGGGTCAATCCTGCCACCCGCATCTCGCCCAGTAGCTCCAGGGCCTCCTCCCGCTTCCCTCCGTTTGCGCACGCCGTGATGGCTGAGTTGTAGTTGATAACATTGGGGGCTACCCCTGCCGTCGGCATATCTCTCAGGATGTTCAGAGCCTCGCTCCACTGGTCCCTTTACGCGCACGATTCGATAGCAGAGTTGAACCTAATGGCGTCGGGGGTCAATCCTGCCACCCGCATCTCGTTTAGTAGCTCCAGCGCCTCCTCCCACTTCCCTCCCGTTGCGCACGCCGTGATGGCTGAGTTGTAGTTGATAACATTGGGGGCTACTGCTGCCGTCGGCATATCTCTCGGGATGTTCAGTGCCTCGCTCCACTGGTCCCCTTTCGCGCGCGCGTCGATAGCAGAGTTGAACCTAATGGCGTCGGGAGTCAATCCTGCCACCCGCATCTCGCTTGGTAGCTCCAGGGCCTCCTCCCACTTCCATCCCTTTGCGCACGCGTCGATAGCAGAGTTGAAACTACAGTAATGGCGTCGGGAGTCAGTCCTGCCACCTGCATCTGAAGCTCCACAGCGATTGCCCAACGACCCCCTTGGAACAAGCGTCGATAGCAGAGATGAAACTAACGGCGTCGGGAATACCGCTTACCGCTTTCATCTCCTTCAGTAGCCTTAAGGCCTCATTCCATTGTTTGCCCTTTGCGCACGCAGCGATGCCTTAGTTGTAACAGACAAAATTGGGGGCGATCCCCACCCGTCGGCATCTCTCTCAAGAGCGTCACAGCCTGTTTCCACTGCCTCCTCCCACACGCGGTGATTGGCCATGCCGTACCATTTCCGATCATTGACCCCACCAGGGAGTTCTTGATGCCTAATAGAGCCCTCAGCGCTTTCCTCCAGTCCCCACTCATCGAATCGCGTAGCATGTTCTTCAACTCCGTGAACGATTGGGTAAGGCCTTCCCTCTTCCTCGCCTGCCGATTTGGACGAGGTGGCGAATCGGGCATAAATGACCCCTAGCGGGATCTTCCCTCAACCCTAGCAGTGCTATTGGCGGCGTCAGGACCTGGACCTCGAGCACGGAGTTCAAGCTGCGTCCCTACGTCCCGCCATCTTCGGGCGGCTCGCTCATTTGTCCGCGTACGTGGAAACACACCGGAGGCCCGGCAGTTCCCTCTCGATATACGACAGGCCTCACGCAGAGGCAATTCATCATGAGACCTGTGCCGATTTACATTACCAATGTCTGACACGGCAGCGCACGCAGACGGAAGCGCAATCAGTGGTAAAATGTTGGATCCGATGAGAATGAAAGGCACAACTGGCGAACATGGCAATCGACATCAGGCTTACAGGCAAATGTAGCCCCGTACATGCGTTGGTACGGGAGCAAACAAGTGGAACGGAGTAGACCACGTGCAGAGGCGGCGCACGTCAACAAAATTGGAATTCCCCATGCGGAACGAGGTACACACATTTCGGGATTAGCTTTTTTTTTTTAAACAAATTTTTTCGTGGTCGATAGCCCGATAGAGGTTTTCCTTCAAATACCAAATAAATACTCCTATATATAACAGGAGGTTAACGTCACCAAAACTCATCGAAACACAGCTAACCCCACTTGCCAACAGCATGAAATTGTACGAAGGACACAGCACACAACACACACAACCACCAGAAATGCCAACAGAACTACTGTATGTGCACTACTGACGGGTGAGGAGCACTAATACAGAAAGCCCATCAGTTGGAGCAGCAGCACATGAATGGATTCATTCGTTCACAGCAAAAACAGCAATAGAGTCGGAACATTTGACAGTGGACGAAAAATAGACCCAGTAAAAAAAATGTTATCAACAGGTGATTCTGGACTATTAAGTCTTTCCGTATTGCGGCCATTCACAAGCAGTCGCTAGCAATCTCGTGCGCACGACCCTTTAGCCCTACAACTCACACGGATTCTTACAAATAAGTCACTTCGTTCGCCCGTAATGAAAGCACACTCACAAGCACTTTCCTGCAACCAAGCTTCCGCGGGTCAGTGCGAGCGGGGCTAGCGGAGAATGTGCTCAGGATCGCCTTTGGCAGCTTGCCGACGGCGGCAAAAGGATGAAACGAATAAGAAAGTGTGTGTGATTTGTTCGGTATGTTTTTTTCGTGGGTTGTCAAGTCCCCGTTGTCAAGCAACGAATGTGGACACCGCTTTGACGCGGCTGCCTTTTTCAGCTCCTGAGCATGGAACTCACACTCTGACTCACGGCAGGATATTTGATGGCCGCGAGAGCGTTCTTGCGTATCTCCGCTCATGCCTTCATCACGCTTTTAATAGACGCCGCGAACTCCTGGAAAAGCATGCCGTCTCCCTTTTGTTTCGACCACGGTTGTTGGTGATCACCCCTACAATCCTAGCCCATGACAGGCGAAATGCAAGTAGCTGCTCCTCAAACGGCAATGCCTTAGATCGGTAAGCAGTTTTTGGAGTCCAATACACGGAATCACTGCTAGAAATCATCGGGATCAACATGTTGAGTTACACTGAGAGAAATCGAGCATCGGGCCAACGTATTCAAAATAACTTGCGTTGCGGCCTCCAATCTGGCGGGGGGGAAACATCTTCTGGTGGATCCTTGAATACGTTCTAAAGACAGGTGGCCTAGAGCTGAGGCGCAAACCCTTTACCTGAGGCAGTACTACCAACTCCTATGTAGTTGCTGGTCTCCCTCCTAGATACTTATAATTCGGCCACCTAGTCACGATGAAAAAACGAACAAAGAGCCCCTGGTCGTCATGTCGTTTTCTTGCTGACCAGCGCAATCTCTCAACGTTTAACAACAGTTGAAGTCCCTCACTGGTGCCGGTATGTGCCCGCCAGATTCACCGGCATCCAACGGGCATCCGGTCCCTATTCAAAGGTGAGCAAATGCAACATTCCATCAGTGTCACACGATTTCATCGCCACTACATGTATCCAAGGCAGTGGCACTATTCACTGCCACTTTTGAGGGACCCTGAATGTACTACTGCTGTAGATATATAGATCAGTGATCACGGCTCGCACAAGCGGGGTTTGCAAAAACATCCGAGTTTGCGGTAATTGGCCTTCAACCCTCCTCGGGCGAACAGCACCTCTGCCAGAGGCATTGCTCGTTAGGCGGGCAGGATTCGGACTGGGTCAGAAACATGCGAGTGGGTGGAACCAAAAACACTCAGCGCCATGGACGACATGGACAGACTCTGCCGGAGAGTCGATGACAAGTGCCACGCAATAAGGCAGTATATAGACACACAAATAACGGCTACGGCCCAAGAGAGGGATTTAGTCTTGCCCGGTCGTGGTCGATACAAGAGAGAGAGAGACTGGCATAGACTACATGTCATATACTGTTGAAAATAGACCCCGTGACAAGGAAGAGCCGCACATGACACACGCCAAAATGGGTGTTCCGCGGCCGCGATGGAAAAAAAGGCAGCGGACACCTATCTATATATGAAGAGGGTAAAGATGGTCTCAGATGGCGAGCGGAACCCTAGTCTCCTGGACCGCGGGCGTACACGGCAGTGCTCACACAACTAGGCGCCTTGAACGACCAGCACTTTGAGGGATTGGGTCCGTCTGTGACGGCGCGAACAGCGGCGGATTGTGAATGGTACGTATGGACCTGCGGTAAGAAAATATTTATTTGTAGACTAAACGCTGTTGCGTGGGGTGTGCTGGGGGGGTCTCCAAAAAACACTTGGAAGAAAAAAGACCTTTGCTTTGCCTTTCTGGCCGCAGCTGCAGCCGTCGACAGCACGACCCCAGCATCAGACCCGGGTGCGCCAACGCGCAGATCGCTGCTCCTGATGCTGTCTTCTACCTGCTGCTAACACTGATTTTCCCTCGAATATCCACACTTTTTGCACAGTATCTGTACTGTCCAGATGTGAAGTTCCAGCAGATCTGCAAAGCAACACCAAAGTGATGAGATCGTGAAAGACGTACTGCTGTAACAAGACGATCATGACTACTGCTCTGTAGTGTTTAAAGTCTACAAACATTCTGTGTAGAGTATGTAGAGTGCATCGCGCGCGTGCACGAGAATTTATCCACCGTGAAAGGGAACTGTTGCTGTAGACTGGCTGCTGCTGTCGGGCATGTAAGCAGCAGGGCGGCGGCACGCCTTGCCACCTACCGCAGTGTAAGGGACGTTCTCTGCGAATGCACAACATGCAATCATATGCATACATGATGCATACCTGGTATACACAAACTCTACTCTATCTACCTGATTCTGATGGTGGTGGCGGTACAGGTCCTACATAAGTGCAGGGTGCTCTCGTGTAGTATCTTCAGTGCAGAGAGCGAGGAACCTGGTGCTCGAGGCGGTGCACACTTCTCTCCCGAGCTGTCGGCCGCGGGCAAAAACGGTATCTTCTGTTGCTTCGGAGGAACGAAACGCGCGGGGCCGGTTGCCGACTGCCGACTGCCAACCATGCAAGGCGGTGTTCCAACGTTCGTGAGGATTTCCGCAGGAGGAACCTGCATTTTCTGGTGTGGAACAGCACTATACAAGGGTATACTTGCAGAACCTCATAGGACGGACGGCCGGTCCGGGCCGGCGGTCGCCGTTGGCTGTGCCGCATCGTGTTGTTGCACGGGACTGTCAGGTACATTGCATCTGCCATTTCCCGTTCGCGCGCCCCCCAGTAACAGGGCAACCGACCTGCAGGGAGCGAGCCGAGAGCCCGAGCTACTCTGTGCTTGGTTCGGCTATCTACGACGCTGCACCGCGGGGCCGTCGTCTGCTGTACTGCTAGAGTCTTCTCGTTCTCGAACACCAGGTACCAGCTTTCCATCCAGTGCCGTCTCAATCAAAGCGAGCTTTGGTGCTCTACTTTGCGCACGGGTTGTCCCGATGAAGTTCGCTAGTGCCTCTCGTTGCCGTGCGTTCGACAGCATGATGTGTGATTATGCTGCCACGTACTCCCACAGCTCTGTGGTGTTGCGGGTATCGCCAGGCCAATGTTCTCCCATGTCGAGAATATCCCACGCGATTCACGCTTACGTGACCGTATCAACCTTTGCTATCAAGGAGTATTTGTTCTGTTCCTGTCCTGCTGTACATGGCATATTTCTTGCTGCTAAATGGTGTTGTCTTGTATTCTCACATATCGCCACTAAAACGGCTGTATGCTGTGTGTCTTGCGACAAGAACCATGCTATAATAGTAGCAAGAACATGCGGTGGCCCAGGCAGCCGGTCCCCGATATACCTACGCAGTAGCAAGCCACCCTACCTTGCGATGCACGACTCACACGCGCACAGCAGTTCAGCAGTTTTCCTAATTTGATGGTAGTGCCCCACACCGTATATCTGCGGCCTTTTTTGAGCGCAAGGTCGTTCTCTCGTTCTTCCGATCTTCCGAGCACGTATGCATTGTACTTCATACATCCACGCACTTCTGCATGACGGCAGGCCAAAAGGACGGCAGTGAGTGCTCGTGCTTCGCACGAGGGAACTACGTAGCCATCCTCTCTTTTCATGCACGAATGAACTACTACAATTTGATAGTCTACGCACCACTAAATAGATGTGCAATAGAGGAAGCTTGGGAGAAGCCTTGGCTCCAGCCGAAGTGAAGAGCCCGGCTGCATGCCACACATGATCTTCCACTGCCATGCTCGTTGGTGCGGCATACATATGTAGCGATTCGCCCACCCCTCCCGTTTCACGAATTTTGACGCCCTACTTGTGCACGTTGAACCAAGGTCTTTCAACTTGGCAGTACTCTGTCTGTATCTTTGCTCGTTGGTGTGGAGTCTGCTGTTCTGTACATGCTCACGGACAGCACTGTTATAGCACAACACGTTTGGAGTCGTGAACCTGTTGGGGTGGGTGTCGATACCATCTTGGGGGCAAAATCTCGCGTACGCAATACTGCCCGATACCGCGCGCACGACTCAAGCGTTGCTTCCCTGCTTCGCAATCGGCACTGCCTGACGTCGAAGCTCCACCACACGTACACCTCATATGCGGATGTTTGTTATCGATGCCCGTGCCACTCACAGGGTCATCTGCTGCTGACTGCCCCCTCAGAGGAAGAGGAGGCGGCGGAGCAGAGATGGACCAAGAGGACAGTTTGCCCTCAGGGGCCTCAGGTACCGGGCTTTCAGTATTCAGTGCCTCATGGGATATATACCGATGCTGACATTATCGTACCGTCTACAACGCCGAACAGGCGGACTTCAGTTGTGAAATGAATGTGTTGATTGCGGCACCGCCACGCGAGGCTTTCCGACGACTGTTTGAGACGGGTACTTCTGGGTCGATTATTGTTCTGTGGATTTTATGTAAAGCCGTCGCGGGTTCGCACGGATATGATAGAAATCGAGCGAGCTCAAAGGTACACCGTCTCCGAAACTTGTTTGCGTAAAAATTCTCAAGGCGGTGGAAGCACCTGGACTCCGGGCATTACTGTCGACGAAGTTCCGCTTCAGCTTAAGTATCGTAATTGTACTCCTGTACTCCTGAAGCAGTCGGGCTTCAATCTTCCTGTGAGCCCCGAAACTTCCTTGAAATTTCTCCAACTGGTTTACACACACACCCCGCTTGCCCACCAGTCGAAGCTGCCAGGCAAGACAGCCGAATTCTCTCTTCGTTTCGTCGTTCTCTTTTTGCTCACCCCCGTTGAACAGGCGACCTCACCCCATCTCCACTGGTGGAAGCTATCGAAAGCGGCGACCGGGCTTCGGTGTCAAAGGTGTTGGAAGGATTGACCCCTGACGAACGGCAATGCGAGCTTACGACGGCGTGCGCCGGGAGTGGTGCAGGACGAAGCCATGGTGCTGACCTGTCGGCACCGTCGGCACGCACGTCAGAGACGGTCATGCTCCCCGTCTTCCATGCGGCGTACGTCGGCCACGTTGACGTTTTATCGGAAGTGCATAGCGCGCTGGGGGCCAACCTGTCCCATGATGCGGTGAGCCTCGGGAAGATGTCTTGACGGGCCGGGAAACCTTGTACCACCGGCAATGTTATTGTTGTGTTGAGATCTCGTATCGTTGCCATCCACACGCTCAAAACGGCGTACGATGCTCGCGTGTGTGTCTTGATTATTACCATGGACCTTCATCGACCTACTGACCAATGAAAAGACATCACTCGCGGTGCGACTGAAAACAGAAAGGCCATGATGTGGGACCTCGTGACGGGGGGCGCCATGCGGGACGCTAGGCTGTTCTCCGGATTATTGGAGTAGTGTGTGTTTATCAGTAGCGACGCTTATCGGCTCCCCATTCAGAAGACGTCAGTCATGTAGCGGGATAACAAAAACAATACGCGGAACGTTTGCTATTATAGCGGGCTCCCCGGGGGCGCAGGGCTCGATGCACTGCTCGAACTGGGCTAAGGTCAGATCAGGAAGGGGGGGGGGGTCTGTACTATTATTTTTATGTATACGATTTAGTGTTATTGCGGTTGTATACTTAATCTTAAACACCTCTTACACGTGGTTTTTAGACTATAATAAGACCTTATCTTGAAAATAATGATGGAAAAACCTTGATGATGTGATATTCTCATCTCTTGTAGACTGTACTCCAAACGG